ACTGTTAAGTCACAATAGTTCTGTATAATGGAACTGATACTGGTCATTAATATTATGGTGTATAACTTTCCTAGATTGTTATTGTGAACGTGAATTTGGCAGAACATGCTTCATCATTCAATTAAGTTCAATAGATCAAGTATTGAAGGTTTAGTTTTTTACAAAGTGTTTATGTTAGGCAAAAGTTATTCGAGTCAAAAGATGTCACAATAGTTTTCATATCTTTCCTTTAACATTCAGTGGCTATATAAACTTACCATTGAATAGATGTCAACTGTAAGTTTTTAACAACCTTTATTCGACAGTAAGATAAATATATTTTTTCCTATTATTTACATAAATCATAAAGTTGTATGGTGTTATAATTGGTTAGGTAAAATACACTACTTTCCTCCTATCCTCTGTTTTATTCATTGTTATAACATTCTGTTCTATTCTTCAAGGTATGAGTTCTTCCGATTCTCTGGCATTAACACGTAAACAATTATTACAAACTTTTGGCTTAAATGTGTAAGTCACAAACTGAGGTTTTTTTTATACTGCATAGTCGTATAAATTCATTTTATAATTTATCAATGATGCGTAACATACTTGATTTAAAACGTGTTAACAAAACTAAATGTTTATTGAACTCTCTGAAAAGAAAATGAAAACTATTTATTTATGTGATATTACTAACCGAGTTCCTTTTACAGCTGTCACTATTTCAGCTTACTGTATGTTTATTTTGAATGTCGTATAACAAGAATTCGACAAACCCATTATTGATGATAGGCTACTGTAACATGTGCAACCCTATAAGTCGTAACACATGAAGTTGAATTTCATTGTTAACACTTTAAAGTTATTGACATACTTAGAAATCATATATTAAGTATGGGCTTATATGTTCGGCTTTGAAATGCATTACTTGTGTAATAGTGATACTCCCAGCCTAATCAAATTGTGTGTATAGCCACAGTTAGCACACCTAATCTAGTGTTTGAAAGTCAGTCAAAACCATAATTGAATATAAATTTACAAGTTACGTGATCATTTCCCATTACAGTTTGATTCCATACAGAGATGAAAATCTTTTCGAGGTAGAGCCAAGTATTTTTTAAGATATAATACTTAATTCTCAGTCATATATAATACAACACATATGTAAGACTATTCATTCCTACATATGGTTATATTAAACTTGCTTAAAGTTCCATTTCACTCTTCTTTTTTTTCATTTTAGTCCATTGAAGTGTGATTTGCGTGGTGATATTGAATCCATGACAGAATTCCTCATATTTTCACGTATTTTTTCTATGGACAAAGGTTAGCGCTATCATTTATTCTCTCATAATAATATTTACCAATATATTACTTTTATTTATAATAAACTCCGATAACTTTTTTTCATTGTATGTCAATTTACATATTCATACTCGTCATCTTTTTTTCTTCTATACATTGCAGATGAACTTAATAAATATCTAGTAGACTCTAAATCGAATCACACAATAATAAAACTGCAATTGAGTAGTTCTGAGTTTAATAAAGAAATTGCCTCCGAATGCAAAGCATTAAGTTTTATGATTAATCGCCTAAAATTATTAATTGCTGCTTATGGGACTTTATTGTTAGAGGTTAGTTTATTCTCAGCTTTCTGAAGATTGAATTTTCATAATAAGTGGATGTTTTGGGGTTGATTTGAAAAAAAAAACAGTTGTTCTAGTGTGTATCGTTTAAATTCTTGTTGTTTTGTTATTGATTTTCCACATAAATCATAATTATGAATCGAGTTAACAATGAATATACTGGACAATTTCATCTCGCCGTAATAATGGGATATGGCAGTGTACATACATACCAGGTTCTACGTTGAGACTAATCAACTGACCAACCGGTTATGATTATTCGGTTGACCCTTCATCTTATCGATATGGTAATTTGATATAATTAGCATTTGAGATATCTATGGAGATCTGTTAATCATTTGGGTTCGAAAGATATTTTTATGTTATTTTTACTATTCTATTTGGATTATATTTAAAAATCACGACATAACATATAAATGACTTAGTTTGACTTGATTAAAATTTTTCTCTGACTTGTCTATGTAGGATACTCCTGAATGGAATCAGTTAACGTTAATTCAACAGAATTGTGAACGTCTTAAACATCATGAAGTTAATATTTTACGTTCTAGCATTGAAAACATTCAAAATATCTTGGATAATAGTTACAACGTCATCAATAATAACTTGCTATCTGTCTCTATTAACCGTGACAGTGGGAATGTATGATTTTTCCCCTTTGTTCGAGTTAGTTATAATTTCTAAAGCGATTCATGACCATAATTCTATGTAATTTGCTTGGCTTTTTTTCACATATTCATAGTAGACAAATTCTGTTTTTTTTTAATAAGACAATTTTCCCTTCACTTATTTTACAATGTTTAAGTAGTTCATAATAACCGCTATTGCTGATGTGAAGCATTTACTATTTTATATCACTATCCCCTAGTGAATCCTCTTTTGCTTCACTTTTTCTTTCTATATTTTACCTTCTCATTTGAACACTTTTTTTCAATATACTTTTTATCTCCGTCGAGTTTATAACCACTTTATACTTTTATTGTGAATAAAATTAGAACGTTTCTTAAATTGTTATTGTAACGTAAATTGCCTTCTTTATCCAATCCTCCTTTAAACATATTCAAATATGTGCAAGCTTTTGTAAAATATAATAAATTATACATAAATCTGCATTTCTGTTGTGTTTTGAATTATTTTAAAGTAAAAATAGTTTATTTTATTGTTGTTCCATCTTATCAAATAGTTGTGTCTCATACGTTATTAATTAGTGAATATTATTACACCATTTAGTTAGTAAATTCAAACCTATTTAAGGCAGCTAACTAGAAATGTTTATATATTGACCAAGTATTCAATTGTAAGTAAATCATGTCATGTCTCAACAGTTGGACTAATATAATGCATAGGGTTGTTGGTCAGTTTAATCTGGTAGTCGCATTATGTCTTAATCGGTAGACGTCGACCACCCAACATGACTCACTGATCATTTAGTATAAATATACCAGCCATACACTGTGACAAAGCCCATCTGTTCACTCATGAAAACAAACATGTCTTGTTCATGAGTGTTAACTAGCATGAAACATATTTCCAAGACTTATTGTTGACCCTTTCCGGCTATGTAACATCTGACGTTTATTTGTATTGGGTGGGAATTGTATGAAAGGGTTTGCTTACTTTTGTCAGTACCACCTTATTAATATCGATATTAAATATAAAATACAATGTAGTTCATGATATTTTTGTACACCACTATTTCTCTTAGTGACTGAAATATACTCACTAAACAATTCCCTACTTTGACTGAATTACGTAGAAAATAATGATACACTAACTTGTACGGTTAACTGACCACCGAACAAGGCTATAAATTGCAGTGTGAATATCCGAACTGTCCAACTCGATTTAGTTGAGATCAACTTTCAGAGACTTTCTGTTACAATTATCCACTATCATCTCTCTTTTTGTCTCTCTAATTGAGGAACACACAACCTCTGTATATTTTATTTTCGGTTTATGCACAGTTATGAAATGTGGCATTTTGAGTCGATAATGAATATGACTTCATATCATTGTATCTGTTTTTAGCTATCTTTCTATTATCTATCAGAAATGATTTATCAATCGTCGAAAATTAAAAAGCACTGGATACTTATATAACTATAAAGTGCCTTTATTCTCAACTATTACTAATGTTTATTGAGAAACATTCGAAAGTATACAAATAAATAACCAATTCGTTGTAATGTAATTTGAGAACTAATATCAAATTTTTAAGTGATTATATGTCTTTATTTAAAGTTATTGGTTAATTCGATTCCTTAATATAAACCCCAAACAAACCGATACTGCTTATAGAGATTGCAAATTAGATAATTATGAAAAATGAATTTTTCAAATAAATATGAGTCGACAACTCTTCGTAGGCCATAGTAATATGCAAATTCGATAAGTTTTTTTTTAGATGATAACTCTGATCATATATCAACCTATGCCTCAGTTCATTTTAATCTTTATAAAATATGTCCAAATAAGGCATTATGTAATTCAATTAATTAATATCATTGATTTGTATCTGTGTGGTTGTTGACTTTGTTAGTCCCATGGTGATTAGTTTATTAACCCCATTAGTTATGTATAATCTTGATAAGATAATATTTCGATATTTACTATTAAACAGCTAATTAAATCTTTAATGAATAAATTTCAGTGTTTAAATTAAATAGGGATACAAGACTAATCTAATCCAATGAACAAAATATAACATCTCAATTTAATAGAGCATTGGGTAGATTATTTACAATAAAATAATCATGTATTTGTGATATCCCAATGAGTATACATAAGAATTTCGTACATTTCACAACTTAGTTTAAGTCGTTTCTTTAAAGAGAAGAAATCATAATTTCCGCTCATTAGGATACCACAAATATATCATTATTTTCGTACTGAACGAAAACATCTAATGAATAAATAAAAATAAAATGAAGAAATATCCATTACGTAATTCAAGTTATGATAGATAATCGTTTTAAGAAGTACATTATCCGGAGATTCGTTTGTATATTGCAGTTAATATCTCGGTCACAAACCCAACAGCTCCTACTTCAGCACGGAAGGTGAAAACTCACTCGACTTACGAATGTAAATTAGCTCAAAACCATTTTATAAGACTTCATATAATCTACGTCGAATAATTTTATATCAACTTAATGTCCACCTTGATGTATCTTTTAGTTTAACGCTCACAATGTAAGTGTTATTAGAAGGAGAAGTGATCACCTCTAAAGACTATACATTATAATATTATTTAGTGCTCGTTGACAGATCACTATTTACCGTCAAGTTGTATTTGATTTTTTTAATCCGTTCGTTCTAATTCTTTTCGTACTTCTTTTTAAAAATTCTTTTACGCTAATCTTCAGTACAATGCAGTCTCATCCATTGTTTGATGGAGCATTTCAGTGCCTATTACCGACGAATGTAGTTGATGCCAGGTGAGACAAATTATAAACTTTTCTGTACTTGACGAATTGTGCCGAAAAGTAATTGAACTGTATACCAGTTAAATATGTCAGGTAGTACTTATCAAAATATTGAAGTTCCATCGTAAAATGTTTACTGTATGATATAGATTGAAAGAGCCAAAAATAATCAACTGTATGAAGTAAAATATAATAATTTTATCCCGAACGGCAATTAAACCATCTAGCTCTGGCAACAAGTCATTACCAATAGTTAATTTTTATTCAAACTTCAACTTTATTAGTATGTGTTGAGAGAAATAACTATTATGCACTCTGAACACCAAACATTCTAACGATAATTCATTCAGCCTTATAATCAGTTTTCAATAGATTTCTGTAAATAAATGAGTACCAAAGAACTACCAAACTCTTCATTGATATTATCATCGAATCTTTTATTTCTGGAGCACAATTTTTACAATGCCCTGTACCCGTACTAACAATCTTATAAAATATTTAAGTGATTGGAATATGTTTAACTGTCACTTTTATTATTCCCATCATACTCACCCTGAAACAAATATTTACCTACACAGTAACTCGTAACGTAAAATATAATTTGTTTAACACGGCAAAAATGTATGAACTAGAATATTTGAAAAAACCAGAAATTGTTTGATAACTTCTCCATGAATACACAGCTTTCAGTTCTTGTAATTATTAGACTAGGTATATTGAAATTTAGCGTTGCACATCTGGTTTGATAAATAGATAAACTTAAGAAATACTGAATTTGATTTCGAACAAGATGATCTTTTTTTTATTTGCTTGATTGAATAGACGATAAGTCTAGTGAAAAACTATAAGGATATTAAAATAAGTTATTTGGAAATCTACATGGAATAGTAAATTATCCTAATGGCAGTATATATATTTTTCCATTTGTTTAATTGACTAATCAAATATTAATGTTCACCTTTGTTCTACTTCAACATTAGTTTCCTTCTAAGTATCTTTCATATTGAATTGGTATTAGATATAGGAACATCTAAAAACCAAAATACATTGGATAACTAGCTTGTTAGTCCTATTTTGGGGGGCCTTACAAAAATGTTTACCTTTGACCCTTTCCATACAAAGTTGGACTCAAAACCTTCAAGTTTCATGAACATCAATATAAATTTAGATCAATTGAGATAGGGTCCTGCGATCCATACCCTAGTACTCATCTTTTGTCTTTTGAAGGGTTTTGTTTAGCTTCTAGGACTTTTTCATTTCAAATTTTATTAAGTATACTTGTCAAAAAAACTGTTTATAACTGATTCTTAATTCATACTATCCTTTTTTGTTTAAACTGTTAAATACCTGCAATCGTAAGTGATTTACGTCAAATTCCTGATAATCAAGAAGTATTTGTTCATCCGTCAACTTCTCAAAGTATCACTATAGATATCTTGGAATATGTGGATGCTAGTAATCATGAAGATGCAGCAAAGTAAATTCGAATTTTCTGTTGTATATTATCTAGTTTTTCGTTTTGAATGAAAACATGCAAAATACGTACACGATTTCTTAGCATAACTTATGGAGTCCATTCACCATTCATGTGATTGAATAGTTGTCTGTGCTTAACGTGCCGAGGCATGGTGCATTGGTTAGAAATCTCGGTTTCTTAAAGTTCTGCTATGAAAGATTCCTCGGGAGAGAAGGTCAAATCAAAACACTGACGACCGTATTATAAATTCTATCAATCCGTGCATAATGAGATTTGACGTCAGTTTTGAAGTTTTTGTTAGGTTATTCAGCTCTATAAACTTTTACTGCTACCTAACATTATTGTAATCCCGTACTAAGATTAGCTTATATTGAATTACAGGCTAAGGTTAACAGTAGAATCTATAATTTTAAAAATAGAGGTCCTGTATAATTAACTATAAAGATATGTCTTCTACTTTGTTTTCATATACTGTACTCAAACATATGAATTAATTTGTGTTACCTATTAGTAGCTATCATTGTTAGTTCCACATTTTTTCCATGAAATTTGTTCATTGGTAATTTGAAAACTTATTGCCGTTTTACTAATAATTGTAATCATTATTATTTCCCTAAATGTGCTTCATTTTTGATGAATATCTACAATTTAATGAGTACTTAATGTTTAACTACGTATTGTATTACCAGAAAATATATTCCTTTCATTAAAGTTTTATTGGGCTCAAAATTCAAAGTATTTTAAAACTATAAATAGATTCACTGAGAAGTTTAATATTTTATTTCTGTTAATATCTTCATGATCTCTATATGTATACAAATTTCATAATATAAAATGCTGTATTTAGATATTTGGTCTGATGAAAATTTAACCTAAATACATATACAGTATCAGAAGGGGTTTTGTGGATGTTATAGTAATTTTAGTAGTTAAGATCATGAGTCAATTGAAGTTGTTGTGAGATAGTGACTCACTGAAGACAATGGTGGATGTGTCACTCAATTTCATGGATTATTTGAAGTTAGACATTAAAACCCTTGGATGCCGGCTCAATGGTCTTAAGGTTAAGCGTTCGCGCGCGAGACCTATAGGTTCGAATCTCGGGAGACGGGAGCGTGGATGCGCACTGCTAAATAGTCCCACAGTACCACGAACATCCAGTGCTTCCAGGTTTTCCATGCTGGTTTAGCTTCAATTGACTCATGATCTCAACTATTGTAAATACATATTAACTGAATATTTCACCTTTCACATTATCACATAATTTCTAGATATCAAAAGCGTAGATAGCTTTATTAAACTAATAAGGATATGAAAAGGTACTTTCATTCTTTTGTAAAAGTGTTAATTTCTTTCATTTTCGAAAATCGGTATCGGTTTCGTTTGTGTGATTGTAAAGACTAAAATTTGAGTAGATTTCATGCTGTAAATTATGTGTCTTCACTTTGAATTGTGAATGCATTAGTTATATGCTTTTCTGAAAGGAAAAATACTGTGTTTTATTAGACGTTAGTAAACTTCACTAGCATGATCTACGTTCAATCATTCTGTACTGAGATGTATTATATATGGATCGTGTCATGTTTTATTTATGAAATCCATAATTTACACGTATTTTACTGACACCGTAAAGAGTTTTTACTACTGATACGTGTTACTGTACCATTGTACATTCTATTATAACCTGGAGTGTATATTTAACATTGTTCCTAATTGTGATAATACCAATTACATCTGGATTGAATATTCATCTGTGTGGTAGATTACATTGACTTTACTTATCTAATTACTGATTGTTCATTTTGATTAGTAGTTTTTGCTTTTATATTTTGACTATCCTCTTGAAGGCAATTCCTGTCATAATTAATTTTACATGTACTTAAACTCTGAGAACGTATTTATGTCTGATAAATCACTGAATAGCTGTTTCGTACCGCTTTAAATTTCATTAGTAACTTCTGATATAACAAGGCTATTATCTTATGTCTTGATTCTTAATTCTTTTTACTGTTTACTTGCTTGGTTCTATAGGTTAGATCCTCATCTGAACTCTCGAAGAGTTATTCTAAAAAATTACCATTGAACAGTGGGTTACTAGTTTTTTTTTCATTTTTGATTATTTTAGTGACAATTTCTTTTACCACAGTTTAATATAAACTTGTGAGTGATTAAAATGTCATGAGCATTGTACAATCAGATATAAGATTTAACGCAGTAACTTTATATCTCAGAAGAAACACTATGTCATCCATATACTGGTTGTTTAGTACAGAATGGAAAAAATTGATCTAGTATTTTCTATTTTCCAATGGTTCTGTAATTGTTGTCAATCGATAATCAAAACCCCCTTTAACTTGAACAATTTTCCTTTAACCATTTAATTTGTTATATACTAAAATATTCAGAAATTGTTTTCTTGAATTTTATAACCATCCTTTTTTATCATTGATTAATAATACATTCCTTTTTGATATCTACCATTATCAGAATGCATTTTAATGAAATCGGTGCAGCTAATGAAGCTACAGATTCAAACATTTCTTCTCTAAGAACTGTGTCACTACATAATCCAGATCCTTAGTAAGTTTTCTAAAATAGATATATTATGCTTTCATCAATGTTTTTATGAATTAACCTGTAAAACGTGCTTCTAGCTTAATAAAAGTTTTGTGAATGCAGTCAGCAGGAATTTTTTAAATCCAGTTTTCATGTTTATAATCATTTACTAACATATTTGAAACCATTAATGACAAACAAATTCAATTTAAAGGTAGTTATTACCAAGATCTAACTTCAGCTAGATACCCATGGAAAAAACTAGCTGTCACTAGACATTGTTACTTCTTTAATTGAAGCAACTACACTGTGTTCAAATATTGTGACCCCTTGAGATATTGAGTTCAGAATTTTCAGACTTCACACGATGGCTAAATACTCTTGAAGGGTCCGTATATCATGAGTATTTATCTGTGATCCACTAGGATTATTAAATCGAGCAGAATAATTCATTTTTCCCACTGTTATCCATATCTGCTCAGAAATTTCATAACACCGTGGCGAAAAACTTATGTCAGTTATATGTTATTGCCTATCAACGAATGGGCTAACCATGGTATTGATGATAATTCCTTCTCTATAAAGAGTGAAGCAATACGTAGCTTCCTGAACTCCATTCATAACTATTAAACTAACAAATGATATAAAGGTGACATGTAAACCATGAGATATCAACTTAGTGGTTTAAAGTCTAGACACTCATAGCAAGGCCTGAATTTTTGAGTTAGATCTCTCATGAGGCCATGGATGTGCACTTTTAAAAAAATCATACACTGGGAAGAAACAGGTGTTTTCTGCTTCCTGGCTTTCAATAGTTGTTTAGTTAAGATCAATCCGCGAAGTAAGTTGTGATATTCTTGTAAGTGCTGTCGTGAACAAAATATCAAATCGAGTTATGCTTTAGGCGAGTTGTCATTCCATCGGAAAGTGTTGCTAAGAGGAACAGGCTGGTTTCGTTTAGGTCTCAGATGCAATGAGCGCATTTTCACCCTCCACCATATGTTAGAGCACCTCCTTACTTATTTCAGGTTAACAATCTTTATGTCTTTTAATATCAGGGCTGCCTTTGATTCATTGAACAGGACTATTTCCTGATATTTCATGCTGTAAAGGGATGTATCTGTAAAGTTTATCAGCATCTAGAAGGATCTGTGTGTAAACACCTCAGGGATAGTGCGTACGCACAACTACTTTTTTCCATTGTTACATTTGAACAGTGAAGTTAGGCAGGTTTGCCCAATCTTGCCATTCCTTCTTGCATTTACGACCGGTGCCATCCTCGAAACAGCTCCAATGTAAGCAGGTAGTAGTTATGTGAATCTATGACATGTAGAAAGACTTTTTCATTTTGAGTATGCGTATGTTATTGTCTAACCTTGAGATGATATCCAATGTATGCAATCTGCACTTATTGAGTTAGTGATCAATTTCTATAGGTATAACATGTACCTTGGTCCTACTGAATGCAACGTATTTCTACAAAACTAGCAACAACCTGTGTCTTCACTCATTCTTGGTTGTAAGCTCTTAGAAGTAGTCAGAGTGAATTATGTCCGTCTGAGTCGTTTTCGGAGCCGTCATGATGTTTGTGTATCTGTAAGTGGACGAGTGAAAAGAGTTTTGTTAAACCCGACCTCTTCAAGTTGTGGAATGTTAGCAACTCTCTGTGTCTGATTATCTTTGTCTCCAAAGGATTTATGACATTCAGTAACAAAATTATGTTCTTAATTTTGAGGTCCAGTAGGGTAAAAATGGAAATGTTTCAAATATAATCCTAGCGGCTTCCAAATCGTGAGTTAGTTACGAACACTAGGGCTGGTTGAAAAAGGCGGAGAAGTGGTTAATATACGACCTGGCACCCTAAAACGAAAGAAAACTTCAGAGGACTAGTATCCGGCGACTCTTCGTGACTTTGTGGTTTTGATCCTAGATGTGTTGCAACTTATTCGCTTGAGAACATATCAGAAAGAACTCAAAATGGCAGCCAATTGTGATCCTGATTTAGTTTTCTATTCCATTTTTTATAAAATAAGAACTTATTACATTCCTTCTATTAGTCTTCCTCTCCTATTGCAATTTATTTTCTTTCATTAATTTTCTACACGTTTTTTTGTTTTTGATTACGTCCCCCTTCTCGAATCTTATCTCTCCACAATGTCATATCTTATTTTTATGGAGCATATTTATATAGTACCCATCCATACCAATATTTATATGTTCAAATAAATAAAGTTTGGTCAAAACATTCTCGAAACATACATAATATATTTTATAATGTACCAAGTGATAATCTAGTGAATGAGAACACCTGTGGGGACAACCAATTGTATTTGATAAAATCTGATGACCATACGGTAATACTTCATTCTCAAAATATCCACCAATTGTCTCAAACTTTGTTTTTCCTTCGTTTGCATACCAATCACTCTCTGTTCTCATTCTCTTCTCTCCGATTTTCTCAATCTTCCGCCTCCAAGCATTCCTTTTTTGATTAGTGATACATACTACCTATGTTTGTCAATATCAGTAGCATACACCATAATAATAAACTAGCATAAAAATAGAATATTTCCATATTTAGATATTTATAAGCTAGACTACTATTATTTCTCAGTTTACTATACTTAAACATACACAAAACTCAATAATTCATTCAAGAGTTTTTCTTTTTTGAAGATAAAAAACCAATAAACTTGTTGTATTTCAGAAATGCAGAAAAAATCTATCGGTTGATACGTATTAGTAAGAATGTTATACTCTTTCACTCGCTCTCTCTCTCTCTATGTCTATCTTCCAACAACTAGATTATGTTAGCCAGCACAATAATCAAAGATTTTTTTAAAAACTTATGTAGATTACAGTCTTACATTTATGGAATAATTAATCTCAAATTAATTATACTGGTTTCCTTTAAAAAAAAAGGGGTTAACATGAGAAATAATAAAAGTGAATTTGATTATTCTAGTTGGTTAATTCTTATATTTTGAAGGCTCTATTTTTTTAAACAAACAGTTGCTTTTAACATTTCTTACATAACCATCGTTTCGCTTCATATTTACACTTTCTCTCTCTTGAAAATGTAACAGTCGCCTATATATATATATATATATATATATATATATATATATATATATATATATATATATATATTCAGGTAATTGAATAATTGCCAACTTGGTACTCAATATCTGTTGTCGTTGTTTGGAGATACAACTAGGCCTCATTATCAAGATTTGTTTTTCTTGAATTTATTTTACGGAACATAAATAAAAATCTATTGTATTTGGAAGGATCTATGTATCTACTTATGTTGTGAACCAATGGTTTTTACATGTTTGTCTGAATTGCTTGTTTTGTAAACTGATTTTTAAAAAATCAATAAAGCTAGCTTGCGGATTTTTCTGTGCTACATCAGTTACACATATGGATTGTAACCAACATTAAAGTTCAGTACATGCGTTTTGCCCTGTTTTTGACTCGTCAGGTGGGTATCCTTTTATCTTAGTGTTGATTTTCACACAGATTCAAACCAAGTGCTGTTCACTCCGAATCTCAACGTGTTATCTACTGAGCTTCTGAATTCAGATAATCACTATCTTGTTCAATGGGTTCAAAATCTAACTAACACTGAAAAGAATCGACTTCACTGTGAACGTATTACTTATTTGTTTGATCTCTCTCTCTGTTGGTAAACCTCTCTATATAATAAATTTTATGTTTTCAATTAATTTATAGTTGTTCTTCTGTCGTTTTATTATCTGGACAGCAAAAAGTGTCCAAGTTTAATCAATCCAATGAAGATGTTGTATTCATTTATATGGCTTTATATAGATATACACAATTCCAAGCGGATGTATTAGTTATTGTCAATAATCCTGATGGTGAAGATGGGTATGTTATAAAGCAAAATAATTCTCTTTCTTGTTATAAGTAGTACGTATTACCCATCTACAAAATGTAAATCGGTTTATTATTGCATTTCTCGTCTTATTATGAATCTTATTTCCACTATTACTTAATATTATCAACAATTTAAAATCAACTATTACTATAAACCAGTTTGCTAATACCCAAAATCGAGCTTCCTCGATGTTTAACAATTATGAAACTACTTGATCAAAGTTTGATGATGCAGTCGCTAATTATAGTCAATGTTATGAATTTAAGTTGCTATCGTCTTTTACCCTGTGCTAATTGTTGTGTCCTTGACTGGAAAATTAGAGAGCAGCGTACTTATCGATCGGTTCAATGACACATAAACACGTACGGACGGCCTAGAGTCTCGATTGGTCTCACTTCCCTGTCTGGCCCAGTCAGTTGAGTCCAGAACACAAGTCACAGCCTCGGAGATATGAATCATTGTATTTCAGATATGCTCTATTTATATACCAAACAAGCAAACCACATCGTACCATAAAAATAGTAAACAACATTTACACAATATGTAACGAATGAATTAAATAATAGCCAATAGGGAATGTACATTTAAGGTCCAAGGCCACCATAGACCTAACATGACAATGATTGGCATATTATTCTGTATCCACAACAGTCAATGAGTTCAAAAGTTCAAATATGACTATATCTGCTTCATTTCGGGGAACTGGCTAGTATCAATAAACCTGAAATCCTCCAAGTGTGTTTTGAAGTTAAGTATACACTTTTGTACTTAATGAATGAGTTGATCCATTACTTTTGATCGGATTCTAAAGAAATGCATTCCAATTTCGTTCAGAAAAAGTTTTTTGAACTACGATTGTGAATTTAGAGGAAATAAATTGTTGATTGTTTATCACATTTGTGTATTACAAAATGGTGACCGACAAAATCCTCAGTTAATTAGCAAGAAGTAATAGTTATGTAATTGGCTTATCAAATATTCTGTTTTCTAATTAATGTTTTTCTCAACTTATCCCGTATATCTTGAATATCCAATAAAATGTCTAAATTAGGATGTTGCACTAAATACAAAACATCTTCAGACGAATTCTGTTCATTGAAATCATGGACATTTGTGTAAACGCTGACAGTAGTGGTAGTACTGCTATGAATAACTAGGTCACCGTTGTCTTTTCTTAAACAACATTCCTGACTAATTTTTCAGTTACTTTTTAATGCTGTCATAAAATATTCGTATTTTAATTAATAACAACGCCTACACCCGTTAAAATTATACCATTCTTTGCAAATGTTTTGATTAAGGTTAAAAATACTCAACTCAGTAACTCAGTAATAATATCGACCAAAAAAACCAGTATCATTTTCACAAAAGTCAACTGATATAAGTTCAATATCTGAAAACCAAACAAGAACCAAATTGGCGACCTGCCTGAATATCTGGTTATCTGTTCTTGTCATCTAGATATTGCAACAGGTTATCTGTTTCTTGTTTGTTTCAACAATATCATTATGTCTATTAATCGCATAACTTATTCAGGCGCATTTATGAAAATTTTATGACCTTTCGCTGTACAAATTAAAAAAGTACAATCAGGTGGCTGGCATTAATCATTGAAATGTCGATTTCATGAAGTGCTGTCATCCAACTGGCGATCACATATTATTTATCGTCAGTATTGATCAAGAAATAAGAAAACGGAACTTCTTGACATACTTCGTGCTGAAAATACTATATTATACCAAAAATATAATATTTAATAAAGCCATTAATAGAAATAATAATGTACAGACTATAAGGAATTAGAAAGAAAATGCTAGTTCCGTAATATAGTCAACTCGAACTGATGTACGTGCGTACGAAATTCTACGTTGTTACTGACTGACTGAGAAAGTAAATGCCGTCATTAATTATTTGATAGTAAAATCATTATTCCAATAGGTTAATTAATTGATATATCACTTCTAATTGATTTTGTCTGTAGTATCTAATGCTTTTCTGTCATTAAATACTAATTATTGTGTTTCTTGTCCTTTTTGTTTTACTTTCAGTGGTAACATTCATTCACCTTCATCAGGTTACGATCAAGTTCATTTCACTTCCCAAAATAATAATAATGATACTAGCTATTCTACAGATTTAATATGGTCACAAGATGAAATAAACACAATACTACCTTCTTTACGTCTAATAAATTCAAATGTTTTTGCATCATAACATTTGATAATTGTTTAGATAAAATGTTGGTATATGGTGTTTTTTCTATTCATATATATATTTGAATAAATATTCTATTTTATATCTTTATACTGTTTATAGTGCATTTAAAAAAGTCCTCAACTAACAGATTTTGTTCATTTGTTTTGAATCCATTACACTTTTGTAATGAAAATTTGTGTTTACAATTCAATTAACAGATACATATACACCATGAAATGGTAAATAAACATAAATTTCAATAAATCTATCCTAACCTACATGAAGAACATCTCTATGATCATAAACAGACTATTAAGGCCTTTAGGAATAGGTGCATCTCATAAAATGTTTACTTTCAACATTATACAAGCCAAAAAATACAACGACAAACGAACATTATCTACAAGCTAAATTGCAGTATTTGAGAAAAGAGTTACATGTGATAAAGTACTCACCATATCCTCATGTATATACGTAAACATTAAGTGAGTGTTAAACATCGAGATATAGCCTCGCCTGTAGCAATACATGTACACAATTATGGAGATGAGTTAGACTGATAAAATGCCAAAATATTGAACAGATGGAACATAAAATACTGAAACTTCAATCAACCATCAATCAGTGGGCATATTGAAATCGACCCGATCAATAATTCATGAAGGAAACGGATAAAATTTAACTCCAGATAAACGTGTAAACAACGGTTACACAATAATTGACAACAACTAATCAAATCCTTAGTCAACAAAACGAACTGTTAGTCAATTGTTTGAAAATTCTAATATTATATTTTTTCGAGTGTGCTGATTGTTTTCTCTAAAAAGATCATGAAACCACGAATAAGTCATCAAGTTCAAAGAATACATTACCTCTAAAATTTTCATTCTAAGGTATCAGTATTCCTCACTATCTCAATGTAGATTTATGTAATCAATCTTAACTCCTAAGTAAAAATTTAAAACCTCTACTAATAATTCAAAACAATCGCTATGATTGGGAATCTTGGACTTGATAATTATTCCACAATATTGTGATTATTTCACTTATCGTCCATAAAGTCTTCAATGTCCAATTTGCTACAGATAACAAACTCGCCACGTTTTTAATCAGTTGACGTGCTCCTCATTAAAACTTGATGTCTTAACTGATTGTAAAATAAATCTAAATTCAAAGGAATTCTGTACTGTGAACAGTTTTACGAAATTTCTCATCTTTACAAATTCCTAGTGTTTTTTTTATTTAACTCAAAATATTTAAATACCGAAATATAACCCTAGTGTGTATTGAATTTTAAATGAGTGCCAAGAAATATAAAATCACCAAATATATATACATATGTAAAACATATTGTTGAGTCGGCTTTCGGAGAACGTCAACGGAGCCTCTAGAGGCCCAAAAGGAGCCGAAGAGTCCTATCCGATCAGAGCATGATGGAGCATTCTAGAATTTTAACGTGGCGTGCTACTATTTATCAGTAGCATAATATGTCGTTAACGGGTTGACTGAAATATGATGTTGATTTAACAGACGCCAACATCTATAAATACCCATGATTTTCTGTACAAAAATGAACCTTGGGATAAAGTATTTTCTCTCATACTTGCGTCTTCTCTCTGGTGTTCAAGTCGCTGTGTAGTTCTAGCGTGCGGGTCATCGGAATAGCTTAGGAAAACGAATATAGCGTTCGATCGACAAGACTTATCACATATGACAAATTTTTTACGCTACTAGAACGTGTTTCCATATTTATCGACTGTTAATATCTAAGTAAACACAAACGAGTTATGTTTTCAAGACAAAATTAACTAATATGATTTTCCATGTAAATAAAAAAGTTATTACAGGATAAACCAAAATTGAATAGATCTGTCCTTGGTTTATTGACTATTCATACTAAACAATAAGCCAACCAAAATTCTGTACAACCAATAAAAATAATTCAATTCTAAATATTCAACTCATGATCTCTACTTTTAAATGAATGGAAACTTTATTTAAGGTTACATAACAGTAAAAGTTGCCTACTTACACGAAGAAACAAGTGGTGTCACTACTTTTTTTTCAATTGGTAGATTACTAATGCTCTATTACAGTCATCTGATCACAACGTGACCAAATTGTATTGTATACTTATTTATTTAGAAAAACAATTAACTATGGTAACATAGGTAAACCGTGCTTTATGTTGAATTGATTTCTATCTAAACTGTTTTGGAGACATGGGGGTTGTATAAACTGAAAATAAGCAAGTATTTTATTTTGATGGGGTACACAATGAAATATTCAAACATGAAGTATGGCAATAATCATAGTTAAGTTCAAATAAATCAGTACTCCTGTGATGGCAGAGAATCATGTAGGTGTCGTTGATCAGATATTCAGGTTCCATTTAAGTTAATTTTAAAAATTTACTAGTTACCATACCAAGTACGGAATTCTAAATATTGGGTCATTATATAGTTATTTGTGATTGATTTATTTGCGATAACAGATGGTCGTATATCGACTCATTTCAATAACATACTGAAAGACATGGAGAAAAAACCCATGGGAAATTTTTAGCTAGAACATTTAATTAAGTATAAGGAAACAGATAAAGAACTAAAACTAAACTATCTTCCAGCAACCTTGAAACTACTAGGTAATCAACGTAGATCGTCTTCAACTTACCAAGATTCTTCCTGTACTATATCCTTATTGCAATCTTTCTTTTATATATTACCACCTCTGAATTAACTACTTTAATGAATCCGGTGTCCATCTTGTTGTGTTAATGAGGTATGGCTACTTGGACCGATGCATATATGTGCCTAGTCCTATGTTGTAGCTGACTGACTTACCAAGATTTATAAGACCAGATAATAGTTATTTCTAGCTAACTGTAACCTTCACAGTCTGACGCAGGAACTTATACGTGATTGTTGATTGGTATCATTTGTCGTAAAAACAAAAAAGGATACAGACCTTCCAGGACATTTCCCTTTTCGATGTTTCTTATATTTGTGTAATCCCAGTATTTGTTTGTTCATCTAATTTAGTAATGTGATTTTCAACTCTGACTACAACAATGTGACTTGCTTCATTTATGTTACGACCGATAGAAATGTACTTGTCTGACTGTATTATCACCCTCACTTTTAACCTTGATCAATTAACTATGTGCCGTATGACAAGTAACACTTCACTTTAGTTCAATATTTTGAACACAAATGACATTTTTAATTCCTTAATATAAAACTTCGCATAATCAGTTAGTTTTTTAGTGTTTTCATCATTCAAACTCCATTCGGTTGAGTCCGGTTTTGTAGGTAAATTATCAGTTCAGCTACTTCTATCCATACCACTAATTTCATTGTTTACAACTCTGGGTATTGCAGGGACTTATTTCCGTACTAACACACTGTTTGATATTCAGTGAAATTTTATATAGTATTTAAAGTTCATTTCCTTTTCTTTAAAGATATTTTATCCAGTATTAATTATTTAAATAGAAAAATTATTTTACAGATGTTGATCTGATAACTTAACCTATCGATGTAGAGAAGCAGTGAGAAATTTGGAGTTTTTCTAAATCATGTTACTAACATTCGGAACATTTAAATTATTCAGAATAAAAAATTTTCTTTACGCTAGTCAGTATCTAGTCATAATTAAATAAATATGTCAATTAGTGATGGGAATAATGACCAGAATAAACTTCGTTCATTTCATATGTTCAACATTTAAAAAATATTACCACAAAATATGGCAAGATAAGAAGTCCGTTAGTATCATTTCCATGTCATTCTTACTTTCGTGTTCCAGAGCAAACTGTCGGAGACTACTCATCTCTTGTAGTAATAATAGTAATAAATTTTGAACAACCCGGGATTTAAAAATTAGTGTTAAGTCTTGCTGATTTGGACGCTATATTCTTTCCTAAGCTATTCAGATAACCCGGACGCTAGAACTATACAGCGACCTGAACACCGGAAAGAAGACAAAAAGTATGAGAGAGACACTTTACTCCAAGGTTCGTTTTTGTACAGAAAACATGGGTATTTATAGATGCTAACCGTTGTCAAATCAGCATCATATTTCGGCCAATCCGTTGACGACATATTATGCTACTGACAAATAGTAGCACGCCACGTTGAAATTCTAGAATACTCCATCATTCTCTGATCGGATAGGACTCTTCGGCTCCTTTTGGGCCTCTAGAGGCTCCGTTGACGTTCTCCGAAAGCCGACTCCACAATTATTTAGGTTGGAAACTGATCCAATCAACTTTGAGTTAAACACTCCACAAATTGCAACTTCAAGCCTGGCACACAAACCAGTTGTTCATTATCGAACAGAATTAACCTTTACAATTAGTTATAGATGAGGATCGCTTCCAATTTATAAACAATGGCGACAAATGCTACATAACGTGTCTAATTTTTTCAAATCGACTCCATCCAATAATTTTTCATTCACGAAGTACAGGCTTCTCTGATTTTGGTTTTCAGTCACACTTTATATGAAAGCCAGTAATATAAACCAGCTCTCCAAGTAGGTGGAAAAAAGTTCGAACAAGGGATTAATTTATTATTTATTTGAACACATAAATATCGGTACAAGGAGGCACCAGATACATATGCGCCACACAATAACAATGAGAATGGGAAGAGATAAAGGATTTAAGGTGCGTATAAAAAGAAAAAAGAACAATAACGACCACAAATTAGTGTATGGTAGTGAGATAATAATGGGAGAAACACAAAGGTACAACCAGAAGGAATCTTTCAGTTAAAGAAGTTACGGCCACTTTTTATGAAGAAAGTAAAAGAAGGTTACAACAGGATCGCCACTGGCTTCTATTCTGGGCCATATCTGATAACGTCTCTAGCCACTGTGTTTCACCATCTCTCGGACCCCAACCAGGGAGCCGTGAAGGACCAATAGAAGCCAGTCCTGTGCAGCTTTCTTTCATACCAAGACACAATGTCATGCACTGACCTTCTCTCCGCCTTTCTCAACCAGTCCAGCGTCGGCAAATAATACACGACGTGGAATCCTCTGGGACGACATTCGTAGAACATGTCCAAGCCACCGAAGTCAATGTTTCAAGATGGTGACACCAGTTGAATTATCGTCTCTGCGCCCGAACACATGATGTCGAACCTCTGCATTACTAACATGGTGTTGCCACTGAATGTCAGCAATCCTTCGAAAGCAACGATCATCAAACACAGAGAGTCGTCTAACATCCTCAACTCGGAGAGGTCAGGTTTCACAAGCATAGAGCAAAACTGCTCTCACCGACGCGTTGTAGATCCGACCTTTTGCAATCAGACTAATATCAGGAAGGCGCCAACGATGGCCCAGATTGGCATAAGCCGCTCTGGCTTTCGCTATACATGAATTGATTTCATCACTCACGCCACCACCAGCACTTATGCGGCTACCTAGATACACGAACTTCTCGACTACTTCTATCTGCTCACCATCCAGGGTGAGTACAGGATTGGAATCCTGCCAGTCTTGTAGAAGTACTTTGCACTTCGAAGGTGCAAAGCACATACCATACCTACGGACATTGATTGCCAACTGATTAAGTGCGGATTGCATGCCTTGGGCATTATCGCACAGTAAGACAATATCGTCCGCATACTCAAGGTCGAGAAGTCTTTCTCCAGGCAACAGATCCACACCACCATTACTTACATTCATCAGAGCTGTTTCCAGAATGTCATCGATGGCAAAGTTGAAGAGGAATGGTGAGATTGGGCAACCCTGCCTAACCCCACTGCTCGAATGGAACAATGGAGAGAGGTGGTTGTATGCCCTCACTCTGCCTGAGGTGTTTGTATATAGGGCTTTTAGGATGTTAATAAACTTCTCAGGCACACCCTTCTTCAATAGACAATCCCAGAGAACAGTCCTGTCCAACGAATCGAAGGCAGCCCTGATGTCAAGAAACACTACGATTGTTGGCCTTTGAAAAGTATGGCGGTGTTCTAACATTTGGCGGAGGGTGAAGATATGATCAATACATCCTCGACCAGAACGAAAACCAGCCTGCCCCTCGCGAGTCAATCTTTCTCGGGTTTTGAACAACCTACGAAGTATGACAGAAGCCAATAGTTTGGACGCAATTGAAAGTAGACTTATCCCTCGATAGTTGTTACAGGAACGACGTGAACCGTTTTTAAAAATACGGACAACTATCGATTCATCCCATTATGTTGGAACACTCTCTAGCTCTCAAACCTTTGTAAACAACACAGTCAGTTCCTTAGTCAAAAAGTCACCTCCATCTTTAAAAAGACGGAGGTAAGTCATCTGGGCACGGTGATTCGTAGCACTTCAAGAGTTGGAGTTCCTTGCGGACTTCCGCCTCATTCGGTGGATCAGTCATCACCGGCCATGGAGGGCAGGACAGTCTGATCGATTTACCGGAGCAGCATGCCAGTTGAACTGCCCTTCGAAGAATTCTGCCCATCGTCCAAGACGTCGATGGATGTTGGTGACTGGCTTCCCGTCATCCTCACAGATTGTTTCGCTCACACCAGACTTCTTGCTGCCAGTGGCTTGGATGAGTTGGAAGAGCTTTCGGTAGTTACCAGATGCAGCTGCTGCCTTCAACTCGTTAGCACGCTCCAACCACCAGGCTTCTCGGTCGTTACGCAAACTTTGTCCAATTGCATTACGTAACAGCCTTCGCATGTGGCCAAACTCACGGTCACCCGGAGTTGACCGACGACATTCAATGGTTTGTAAGGAGTCAGAAAAACCTAGTGCCTATAAGCAGGACGTTTCGCGAAGCCGCATGCAACTTGACTCGCCATTTTCATTACGTCATGCGATTGCAACCCATGCTCATCTATACTTTTCGGTGGGATGGTAGCTAGCCTAGAAGCTAGCTCGATTCGATACTTACTAGTAACAGAAGTTGCAACCAACTTGCTGACATCAATCCTTTGGTGGCGGCCACCTCGTTGGCCACTGAAAAGTGAGGTAAGATTAGAGCGAACAAGGGCATGATGCGAGTCCAGCTACATACTCCAAAAGCAGCAGCAGTCTTTTACAAAACCACGCCAGTGGTAGCTGATCGCGATGTGATCAATCTGAGTCCAGGCTTGGGATGCAGAGGAAGGACGCCAGGTGGCACATCGGCGATGACTGTGCCGAAAGTTAGTGCTAGCCAGAAACAGGTTGTGGTCTGTGCACAGTTGCAGTAGACGGTCCCCGTTATCTGACCTGCGACCAACAAGTCCCCATCGGCCACCTAAACGATCCTCTTCTGTGCCTAGACGCCCGACCTGAGCATTCAAGTCTCCGGCTAGTACTACGATATCTGCCCAACACACTTTCTGAAGAAGAACAGCTAATTTGTGGTATAATTTATCCCTGATTGCATCCGGGCTGCAATCTGTCGGGGCATAGGCGGAGATGACGAAAAGACATCGTTCCTCACACCGATTTCTTCTCAATTTGATGGAACTTTCTAATCTAGCAGCACATGACCGACTGTTAATGAGGATCCAATCGATTAGTGCTGCCTCAGCTCTAGCGCTTAGTGCGACACAAACCCCAGCAAGACCAGACGAAGATGCCACAGAATCCCCGGATAAACGCACGTAAAACAAGCTTTTTGAAGCGACAGATAGAGAGCGAATTTGTAGTACTTCACCAGATTCTTGAATACGGGTCTCGGATAGACAACAAACGTCGATATTAAGACTTTCTAAAGACATAGCCAGCCCTATCTGTTGTCCGACCTGCATAAGTGTGCGAACGTGGAAGGCAGCCAGTTTGAATGGCGCACGTGGTTTCAGAAAAACTGCTTCAGTATTCGTATTTGGTGGTAGCACACAATTTTCAACCAGGCAGTGACTCGAGAACGTCTACATAGAACCGAGTTTCTACCATGGACGAGCTGCTGTATAAGTTGAAAAATGGGGATACATGAAGTGAGAATAGAGGTAGATAAATGACGTAGTATATAAAATAATAATGATGAGTGTTACCAGATGAATGTAGAATGTCTGAATTCTAATTGTAGCGAGCTTAGTATTTCGTGAAGTGATTGTCATTTAATTAGATTTGTGTGAGGGCGGTGATACAGCCCGAGTGCCCAAACCCTCAGGGTCCTGGAGCCAGCCCATGTGCACCATTGGTTTGGAATCAGGGTTTTCCAACTCTCATAAGTGGACCCTCTGTGTCCACCAACCCGGTTAAGGCGCCGGACATTCGCTTTTCGTCCTCTCAATTTCGTAAACAACACTACTGCCACGAGAAGGCAGTGAGTAGGACTTTCCTGGCAGAGGCTATATACGCGTGGCCATGTGAGAGCATTTCAAGAGGGAGAGCGGACTCTCCCCACTCTCGGCAGTACCAGGGCATTTGGGGGCTCGGATCAGGGACATATCAGTTGAAAGCCCAATGCTTTACCTACTAAGCTATCTTCAAAATAAGCCACTTATTTAGAATTATGAGAGTGAAATGATAGCAAAAGATTATCTCATTTAAATAATTTTCTCTAATATGGACATAGATACAATGAATGCGATAATTTGGTTTAGTTCCTTACAAAAAAAAGACAATATTAAAGTCGGCTGAAAAGAAAGTAAATTAAGAAAACGTACAATTACTATTCTTGTTTTAACTGTTCTAATGAGCAATATAAAAACAATTGAATCTGAGTACTTAATAATATTTTTAAAGAGTTCAATCTCAACATATCACCGCTGAATGTAGATCCAAATATGCTATTTGGTTAACAAAAGAAATGATTAATTCTAATATCTGTTTACATGCACAGAAGCAAGCACAAACAAACATACATCTGTTCAACATGTTTATATTTTAAAGCCATAAGTTGGTGGTAAATGGTCATTGGTACTACTTAGAGATAGTAATGAAGGATAAAGCTGTGATGTACTGGCTGACACATCTGAATTCGTCATCACATTAGGTACATATGATGAATGAGGAGTATTGGAAAAGCTTGATGCCCTTATATGACCAGACGATAATTGCTCCGCTAACTTTTCACATTTAAATCTACGTTCATTACATAGTTTACGAAGAGGAATAAAATCCTTCAAAAATGCATCAACATCCATGGCTTTGTCAAGAAATCGACTAGCCAGTTCCTAGAAATAAAGAAATGAGGGAAATTACAATATACTTCAGATTGTTCTTCTGCTTGTGCGTTGGCAGTTTGTAATAAAGCAAGAATTACACTCGGAGAGTATTTTGTACCGATGTTGTCTTTATTTTAAATGTTCAAGTATTGTGCAAGACTTACCAACTTCTGATTTACGTTTCATATATTCATTTTCTAATTGTTTGTAATTAGAATATGTTTCTACAAGCTCCGTTTTGATCATATTGAAAGTTGGCTCCATAGATAGATTTGCTTCAGCTTGACGTCGGTTTTCATTCATGCAGGCTTCTTTGTCAGACTCGATCTTTTTAATCTGGTTTTTCAGAAAAAAAGTAAACGTTTAACAGGGAACATTTTATGACACTTACATCAGGACAATTTTTAGCTAGCTTCTTTATGCCTTCATGATCAGATAGTAAGGCTTCAAGTTCCGTTTTGGATAATTTTTCCAAGTACGATAGAATTTCATCCTTGCCATCTACTCCGTTATAACTTGTTGCATTCATTATAGTTCACAATCTAAAAAACAAGAGCATTATAGGATTTTTCCACAGTGATTTTTTTTAAACGAACACATTAAAGCAGAACTTTACGCTGATACAGAGAAATAGAGTAGTCTGAGAGTCAAACTTTAGTTTGCATGCCCCCTGGATGACCTACAGTGTTTATTCGCTTACGTTTCAAACGACAATTAGTTATGTTGATTTACCAGCTTAGTACTTTATGTATATCTTATTTGACTGAAAAAAACTCGTTCTGCTGGGTAGCTGTGTTCGCTTTCAATATCAATATTACTTCGATAATCCAGTCTTAAGGATAGTTATAAGTCAAGCACATTGTGTCACTGTGTATTCACTGATTAGTATTTTGTTCATTATTTTAACAATTTAGAAATTGCATCACCATAACATCCTAAACCCCTATCAATAACAATCTGAAAATAAATATCCATCTCTTCAAAATTTCACACACGACTGCAATCAGCTATCACATCTTGGTTAATATCTTTCATTCATCTAATGTTGAGCGTTGAATAAAGTGTAAAGATATAATTTATTGAGCTATCCATTCTGAAGTAACTTATAAGTCAAGTACATTAGATTTCGTTCCTCAAAATAACAAAGAAAACACCACTGAACAAGATGCAATATTTTTCAAACAGAACCAAAAGAATAGTTAATCATTTCTGAATTTTAAGTTTACAAAAACTAACTCAGCAGTGATTGATGTATTCTGGAACCAAATGATTTGGTATAAACATAAAACATATTAACTAGCGCCATGATCTCTGTAATCTGATAGTCGCATTGCCTAATATGATGACTAAATTAAATAAAGATCTACTGTACATAATTTTGGAAAGTTAAAACAGATCAGTCAGGTCTGAATCTAAATAGCATATATGGATAAAGAAATGTAATGTAAGCAAAAAGATAAAACAGGAGATTACACAACGTTTGTACGTAAAATAAATACTTTAGTTAATAAAAGACACTTATATTAATAAGAATGTTTTAAAATTGGGGTACAGATTACTCAGAAACAGCTTCGGGTTAGTACTTAACAAGCGTAGCTTAGTGTACAAAATATATACAACTTTTTCAGATCCAGGAATCGAATAATGAAGGATTTATTTGGTTTATATATATATATATATATATATATATACCGAAATCACATATATTTCAAACTGTCAACAGATACCTCTGCTTTTCCTTATATCTGAAAACCTGCCTTTTATGAAGAGGTCAGCTTTGCCGACTATAGTGTTTCAGTTTAACTATGTTGAGCGAAACCCTTGTTAACTGAGATCTAGAAACAATTTGAGTGATCAAAAATAGCTACTAGTGTATTGTAGGTAATTATACTACCAAAATCTATGATTTTTAAGCTACATACAGGTTAGTGATATTCCAGGCAGTATTGTCCTTCAATTGTAAAATAACTGGTTATAATTTAGTAAACAACTAATACAGACCATTGTCATACTGATAGTCAAATTTAGTTGACGAATAAAAATTTATAACCACCTGGGAATCATGCAATCGTATGTTGTACTTGACTGTGTTAATATTCTAATATGCGTTGTTAGCTAAGATAAGCAACAAAAGCATTTGTGAAGTACACAGGTAAAACAGGAGATAAGCAAGTATGTATTGATGAAGAACCCAGCACAAAAGTGAGTCGATTTAAAAACCCTGAGTAGAGAAAAAGAAATTCATTACATGTGAGAAAGTATTTAAAACAAGAGAAACGTCTGAAAAAGACAAACAAATCAAGAATAATACGGTATTTGAGATTCAGAAGGCGAAGAGTAGATCCATTTGCATCACCTCCATGCTAATAGAACTCAATAACCATTGGGTTCTAACCCATCAAGACCCAGCTCATGGAGTCTGTATTTCGATACACAACTGACAGACTGTCAGGTGCAGCCTGATGGGATGAGTTTACGAGAATCCATCAGTGCAATGGACCTTGAAGAAATCCATTGGTTCTTTGTAATACTGTGGTTTGAATCACTAATAGATGTCACTGCTGTTTCCACAGCTGATTGTATGCCCTTCCAAGCAACATCTGGGTCAGCCTCGTCTTCACAACTACCTAAGTGTGACCTCAGTTGTTCCTGGAACCTACTTTTGGTTTTCTCGCTACTCAATTCAGTTTTAATGGGTCTTTTTGGTGTGGCTTTTTTGCGTCCAGTGAGGCGCAAGCAGATGCGTGCCTGTATTAGGGCATGGTCGGAGTCCAAGCAGGTACCCCAGAATGAGAGATAATATATCGACCCTCTCCAACGATGACTGATGGCAATGCGGTCTATTTAAGTTCATCGTTGGTTTGGTGCAGGGGTTCGCCATGTTAGACGATGTCTCTCTTTATGCTTAAAATTTGTGTCTGCTAAAAATAAACGATTGTCTGAGCACAGTTGCAGCAGACGATGACCATTATCTGTTCGTTGTGCCGGAACACCAAAATACCCGCCTAAATGTCGTTCTGTTCGGTCTAAGCTACCGAGTACTATGTCTGAATGTTTGGCTTTCTGAAGAAGTTTAGACAGCTTTCTGTAAAATTCATCTTTCACTTCATCCGAGCTGCAGTCAGTGGGAGCATAGGCAGAAACGACAGAAAGGCAACGACGTGTGTCCCTATCCTTCCAAGTTCTTACGGAGTCATTTAGCCGAACAGCACATAAACGACTGTTAACGGGGGTCCACTCTAGTAGTGCTTGTTCCGCCCTCATGCTTAGTGTTATGCCGTGTAATATACCACTAGAGATAGCGGACTGTTACCTAGTATGTCCTTCACTTGGTAGACAGTCAGGTGTTTCCAGTGCAACAGAGCAAGTGGATTCGAGAACTGCAAACAAGCTTTCTGTGTACATTAGTACTTATCTCGAGGAACCGACTCAGGGTTGACACAACTGACATATACAGAATTACCAACATGCTAAACCACTCCACTCCCCATCTTCAAATTAGTAGAAGATGGTTATTCCAAGAGTGTGACCTTAAATTCTAATAGTTCTAAACATAGACTATCGGTAGATTTCCCACTGATTCACTCATAAAACCTTGAATGCTGCTACAGTTTATGTTTAATAAAACAATGTTATCTATCTGCTTATTCAAAAGGGAATCACCGAGTAAAAGAGGACATAGAGACATTTAACTACAATAGATGCGTTAATACGATCTACTTAAAACGAAGAATCCGTCAGTCATCGGAACGCAATATGAACATGTTGGAAATTCAGTTAGGTAAACGCTTTTCACATACTTGTAATTAGTAGCTGATTGCTGTATGAACTATGGAGGGAGTTCTGGATAGTTCATCGGTTGTGGTTGTGTTGAGAAAAGGTATTGAACAAAAGCGTACTGTGATATGAATAAAACTGCAGACAGCAGCACTTGTCACTTGATTAGCTACTAAAGAACCCCCACTGCTAGCTTAAATGATTTTCCCTTGTTTCGAAACAAGCTATCCACAGCTAGCACCACAAAACCTGTCAGACAAAATCTATAAAGACCAATTAGATGGTGTAATTTAAACTAATAGTCCTAAATAAATGAAGCCTATGAAGAATACTGAAAATGTCATGAGCAAACAGTTTACGACAGATTTAAGAATTAATTTAATTCCGTCCAAATTTTAATCACGAGCCTTTTCTACAGTAACCACGACCGAATCAATTTAAAAGGATATAAACATTCAAAGAGTCCAGGTTCTATCAACAGAAGACGTTTCAATTTAGTGAGTTGAATTATATTGAATACCTAGACTGTGGGATTAACAATTGTTAGTCCTATACGTCTATACCACGTTCCACTAAGAGATTTCATAAACGAACCACACCTCTATTTCATCTGTCAGATTTCAGAGTTAAAGACTAGTTTTTGTGTGGAAACTCCAGAAACGACATTCGCAAAATATATCTAGGCCACGAGAGACGTGTTTTAATATAGTGAAACTGAATTATCAGCGTCCCACAACATTACTAGATCTCAACATTTTTTATATCATGCTGCCAACGGATATGATCGATGTTTCGGAGACTAACGTCTGATTGTGATAAAGATTAGCGTACTGTAACATACATAACATTATTATCCGATTAGATCACTATACGACGTTACGACTACGCACTTCATTAGTCCTAAGTTTCCGAAAAACGACAGGTGACGGTGTAAACATGTGATGAAAATCAAGACAATGGAATGAGTAAACAATCAGACTACTGAGTTATTGATGCGAAACAGGCTTGATGCACTAACAGATGACTTATTCTGTACGACTGAACAAATATGAGACTACTACTACATAGATTCACACAATCTGTTAACTCCTGAGCAACATGGGTTTCGTAACAAGCGTTCATGTTTGACTAACTTACTTATTGCGAGAGAGGACTGGACAGCAGTCTTAGATAAAGGTCTATCTGTCGATATGACTTAGCAACCTAACCCGAATTATCTTTTCAAGCAACTTAACGACTATGCTGGTTAGACTGACAGGCCGGTAGTTAGATACGATCTGTTTCTGACCATCCTTAAATATAGGACTGACTATAGCGTCTTTCCAATCTCTAGGGAGTTGAGCGAGTGAAAGGGAAATGTTGAAGAGTGTCGCGAGCGGTTTTGAAATAATGTCCGCAAGAGATGACAGCAGCCGTAGATGTAACCCGTCAGGGCCCGGTATCTTACAAGGTTTGAGGTTAGTTATCAACGGAAGGACAGTTCCCTCAGTCATCTGTACAGATTCAATGGCTGGTATCTCGGTGTGAGTGGGACAAGTATTTGTTGCAATAAACGTAGAGTAGACTTCGCTAAAATAGTGTGAAAAAGTCTCAGCTTTTGCCCGATCTGATTCAGCTAGTAAATCTGAATTTTCGTGTAACAGTAAAGGGGGGAATACCATCACTACGTTTCATTCGCCGTTTAACATACGAAAACAGTCGTTTCGGACAAGTACGGCTATCATATACCAACCGTCGTTCGTAAGTAGTAAGGGATTTAGCTATGATTTTCTTACAAATATTCCGGAATTTTCGGTACTCACGTTTAAATGATGCGTGACCTGTCAACAAGAATAAGTCCCAGAAGTGTTTCTTACACTTTAACAGCTTCCAGGTCTGTTTATTAGTCCATGGAGGTCAATGTGATAGCTTACGTGCTGACCATGGGATAAACGGCGACGTTACGGACTCGAATGTAGCCTTAAACTTATTCCATTCATCTTCGATCAATCCATCCGCGTCGACCGACCAATCAGTCGAGATAGCACAGTTTCTGATTTCCGGAATATTAGCTCGCCAGATATTGGGACGGGGTGGAGCAGATACAAATCGTATACCATGTGTCCTAAACTTAAAGTGAATTACGTGATCACTGTTCACTAGTGGGGGAAGGTGCTGGATATCAAAGACATCCTCACAGTGGTGGGTGAGGGCGAGGTCCAGCAGTGACGGATCATGTTGCAAATCAATGTGTCGGTTTTGTGATACATTGTACGAGTGCACACTGAATAGCGGTTGATAAAAGGTCGTTATCGAGACCACTACGTGGAGCTGTAATCTCTATCCAGTTGATATGCGGTGCGTTGAAGTCCCCAATAGTGAGACAACATTTTGCCATACTCCAAGAACAGATGTATCTTAAGATAAAGTCGTCAACAAGACAACGCAGACTACGGTATATTCCCCCTAAAGTCTAACCCATTTCTATATCTAATTTTACAACATCCTACCTCACATGTACCACTAGCATAAGCCTCAGATACGATTGATTGTATACGAAAGTGATCCCTAACGTATAACATTATGCTTCCCTCCTTGCGACTTGAAACTCTATCACTTCTAATACAGATATAGCCTGCAATGACAGGAGAACGTTCTATACCTACTGTGAACCAAGTTTCTGTAACAACAATTATATCGCGACTTAGTTCGTCCACCATCAGACTTAGCTCGGACGTTTTATTTCTAAGACTACGGGCGTTCGTGTAGCACACACTTAAGGTGTTTTGGCAATCATTCGCTTCACCTATACAGGCCATGGAAACATTGGCTCCCAAGACCTGAATACCCGAAAACCCTTAATGGTAAAGTTAATTTCGCCATTTAACTTGCGAGTTCTCAACTCCGTAAGCGCATTCTTCCAGTTGATTTGATCATCAAGCGGCCAGTCTGGTCGGATACGAATATTTGTGTTACCGCTGTTGCTTTGGTAGTCGACATTGTTGTTTGTGGATGACGTAAAAATCTGGAGAACAATAAAAAGTGAGGCTGATCATTTGGATCTTCAAGCTGACCTAAAGGAATTAGTTAGATGGGCTCGAGGTTGGTGCTTAGAAATCAATTCTAAGAAGAGTGTGCTAATGCAAATCGGTCACGGTAATAGTTACCATTAAACTATTGATGATAAACCTCATCCATGCGTGCAAGAACATAAAGACTTGGGAGTGATAATAAGTCATGACCTGAAAAACAACTACGCCTTGCAACGCAGCTACTTTAGTATTTACAAAACAATGAAAATAGTGCATTAAAAACCATTTATAAAAGTATATCAACCAGTTTTAATAAATTAGAAATATACAACACTATCATATTTTTCTAAGGGACGAATATTGTGCTATTGGATCCTACCTTTCTTACAGATTGGGAATAACCATCTGACTTAAGCAACGCAAAGAGATGAAATTCCTGCCAATACAATTAACATTTTGTTAAAAATGATTCAAGTGGTTCAAATGGTTGTGGACGGAATAGAAGAAGCTTTCGCTTAACGGGCTTCCATGTCTAGTAGCAGGGGATCACGAATAACTCTAGGCAGGAACCCAGGTATGTTAACGATAAAAGAAGAAAAAGAAATTGGTAAATCATAGTATGATACTATCCTTAGACCATAAGAATAGATCAGGTTGCCTCTTAAAGGATTCCTGGGAAATCGCTTGGACTAGCTCGGCCGGTAGCGAATTCCAGCATTTTACAGCTCTTAAGGAGTAGAAGTTGTGTCTACAGTCCGTTCTGTTATGTTGTATCTCCAATTTCTGGGTGTTACCCCTTAGGTTGGTATTGGGACTAAGCTTTAGTAGATGCTTATTAGGATGTCCAGAAGTGCTAAGAATACTGTAAGCCATCAGATGGTCACATCTAAGACTCCTATACTCTAATGGGTAAAGGTCAAGTGATTGGAGGCGCTCCTCATGAGGTTTGAATATTAGTCCCCGAACTGACTTCATGGCTCGCCGTTGGATACGCTCCAGAGTGTCCTTATCCTTTTGGAGTGATGGAGGAAATACTATGTTTCCGTACTTTAAATGGGAACGGATAAAACTATTGGAGATAATATATAGAAAGTTCTTCCGTCAAACTGGCCAAAAATGCGCTTTAATGTTACCAGTGCAAGGTTTGCTCGAAAGGCATTTGTCACAGTTAGCCTGAGACTTCGAATTGTAGAGCACCAGGACTCACAAATCTTTTTCGACTCGGGATACTAATAGAGAGGAGCTTCCTAAGTTGTAACTATAGTCTGCAACATGCCTCAGATAGACTACTTTACATTTTGATGTATTAAAGGTAAGTCCGTTGTCGTTTGCCCAACTTTGAAGTGCCTGCTGCGTATCTCTCTCCAAAGTTTCACGTCATCAGCATATAGTAGCAATTCTGACGAAATCTGTCGAGGAAGATTATTTACATAAATCAAGAAGAGAAGAGGTCCCAGTACTGAGCTCTTGGGGACCTCACTAGGACATTCCATAGCCTGAGATAAAGTGAAGTTAACCCTGACCTTAAAATATCGGTTTTTTATATAAAATGAGTAAATCAATTAGAGGTGGTCTCATACCCAATTGTTTAAGCTTTTTGATAGTACACATATGGTTGACCCTATCAAAAGCTTTAGAGAAATCAAGGTAAACGATATCAACTTTCTCCTTGCTATGAAGTATGGTGGTCCATCTGTTCACCGCAGTCAGCAGGTTGGCTATACAAGGGTAACCCTTCCTGAAACCATGCTGTTGGAGTGGGAAGAAATTTAATAACAGTAAATAGTCATATATACCATCGCATATCAGGGACCTCATGATTTTTGAAGGTATAGAGAGAAGAACCACTGGTTCGCTGCGTCGACCTCTTTTAGAATTGGTGTGATGTAAGCCAGCTTCCAAATTTCCGGTAGTTTGCCTCGGCTTAGCGAGCGCTAGAACATCACTCTAAGCCAGGTTTGAGGCTGCTTCCCTCCGAATAGCAGAATGAACCATATCTTCGCCAGGAGGAGTGTCTTTTCTTAGGTGCTGTAGTTCCCGTAACACCAAGTCGGCGCTCAGGTTCACTTCGGAAAGTCCCGTGCAGTTGCGAATGATGGTGTCCTTAGTACAGTTGATGTGGGTCGGTTGAAATGTCCGAGAGTATTGTTCAGCCAAATGGTTAGCGGCGTCGCTGTCGTTATTGGTTGGGGCATTAGGACCTAGCAGTTGGGAAACTCCAGTTATGGCTTTTCGAAGAGAGGCAGCATGATGGAATAAGCTTTTCGGACTGGAAGCGAATTTATCCACAAGCTTTATCTAGTGCTGAAGCCTCTCTTCTCTTATAGCCTTCGTTCATATGTTCTTTATATGTTTGCATTGCCTGTACGTGCCGTTGTCATCAGTTCGTTTGTATTCTGCCCAGTAGTGCCTTTTGAGGCTTAGCAGACGAAGAGTGCGGTTCTTGATCACTGTAGGTTGCTTGTAGCTGTTAGGGACCGTTTGAGGACTAGTTTGTAGCACATGAGAGCGTGTGCAGTAAGAAGTCTCAATGAGTATCCACATGGAGTTGATGGTGAACATGTCAATCCACCTGTTGTGGATAGTCCTGAGAAGCTGACAGATTCAACCGTTTGAAATTCCAGCGCATGTTGTTGGTGGGATATCTTAGCTCATTTTTGCTGACAAAGCTGAGAGCTATGACGGCGTGATCGCTTTTCCCCAGGTAAGCCAGGATTGAGAGGTTGTCAATGAGGAATTCTTTGTTTGTAAATACCCAGTCTAAGTGCGACGGTATCTGACTGCTTCTCCAACGAGTTGCCGACCTCACATTTTCGTATAATCCCACATCCTCAATGAGTTTGGAGAACCGAGCTTCAGTTGATTTTTCACCTCCAATATACGTATGTTCCGCGAAATTGACTCTAGGGAGATTGAAGTCCTCTAGAATCAGGATATGAGTAAATCGGAGACTATTAGAGAGGGATAGTCCCTTCAGTACTAAAAACGGTTAGGTTGTCAACACACCTGGCTGTCTAAAAATAAAATATGTGCTCTAGATGTGTCTTTCGAATGTTTAGCACCAGATTCTAGCTATTATGATAACAGCAGACGTAGCTCATGTGTTGATCATAGAGGATGTAATCATCCCGTCGTGCTCATGGAGTGTTGAAACGTATGATACTATATCTTCAGATCGAGCCTCGAACTGTTCATATACTTCGCTTTCTTCAATAATGCTACACATCTTTGGTACTACAGTGCAACTGTATTGCTTGATGTGAATTACTAGTTTTACTCAGCGCGTAGATGAAAGCTGGTGAACTGTTATGTTCTGGACGACGTTTGGTCAGTGTCAAGAAAAGGGGACCTACGATTTCTCTTTGAGATACATGTGCTATCAGCTTTTCCTACTTCGACGTAGGATTCATGGTCTTATGGATAAGGTATCTAACTTCTAATCTGCCTTTCTGCTCTAGATATGAAATCCATTTAAGCGAAAACTTCTTCTACTCCTTCCGGAACCATTTGAATCATTTGACTTTTTGACCTCTGCAGAAGATTGCCGGTGCTGACTAATGATTGAAATAAACTTGCCAATCGTACATTGAATGCTTTTATAGTGAGTACAGTGTGTGGCTCAACGCTGCATGCTTCGGCTTCTCAAGTGATTCCTTGTCCGAGGAGACCATCTTGAAAAGTCCTAGAAGAGGAATCACCATAGTTCGAAGAGTTACTTTGATGCTCATGTAAAATGCTAGAGAGCTAAAATATAATGAACTTTTATGCTAGAAGAATTTCATCGTGGAGCAAATGCTAACAATCTAGAAAGAGATAGACAGAATATAAATATGTCGAAGACAAAAACATCGTTAATGGAAGAGCGGTCTTTCCATACTGTACATCCTATTTATGAAAAGAACACAAGGGTGAAGTTGTATGGTAAACACACTAGCATTTTAATACCTCCCTGATTTAGAAACACTGAAAAGTGTGTTTCAGAAATAATTCGAGTTTTGTAATATCACCACATGATTAGTGTGATCTCGCAATGTATATTGTAGTAAGAATAATGAATCTATATGTCACTTGGAAACCAGGATATTTTCTAATTTATTGGTGTCTACGTCGTACCAACTATAACGTTGACACAAATAATCCACCCAAAGGTTGGAAAACGTTTGAGCGGTTTATAAGTCCTCGAAATTGATAGTTCCACAAGTCTTTGACTCTTATATTAACCCCATTAATTTAACTGTACATACCTTATCTGAAGGCGCTCAGTTATGCATCTTTACCAGGTCACCGTTAAGTGTACCCTGTTACGCATCCTTCACAACAACTAGCCAGATAAGATCAAACACTTTTCGACATACCGAACACCTACCGAATATATCTTCATTCCTGACTCGGTTTGCAGGACTTCTATTACGATGGTGTCAGGGGCGAAAGCTTGGTCAAACTTTTAGCATCCGTGATATTTTTTGAGTAATCGGTGAATTGCTGGCGAACGTAGTCTGTCGAGTATGGTGTTTTGCTCCAACTTTATGGACAGACAGTTCAACTACGTGGCGAAGTAAAACGTTTTACCATCGAAACTCGCAGTTGTGAGTAATGTTCCATGGTTCCAAGTTGGCTCATAACAAGTAAAAATCATACATTTATTCGGATGCACAAATCCAGGTAACTCTTGTCTCCTGTACACAATCACACAGCAGAAAAGTCTCATTTTAAAAATTGCTAGTTTACGGCAAATAATCCTGAACACTGGCAGGTAATAATGATAAGAATAATTGCGTATGTAGTTAACAGTACCGTAACTTTTCATTTGTATATATCCATACCGTACCTAACTCTAAAAAGGTGAGATGTGAAAAGAAAGCGATATAAAACTGGGCGTTTGCCAGCATGGCATTGTGCTTCTGGTTTTGTGGTACGACGACACAGTTTTTATGCAGCTTAAAAAATAGGCAAAAACATGGTTTACAGCGAGAAACAAATTATCACCACAGTATAGGAAATGCTAATCATATAGCATTTTTCAAAATCAGTTGTCAGGTTCCTTAATCTGACTGTAAGTTCCTTGTAATTTGAGCGATCGTTGTAGAGCAAACAGTTTTGTAGCACATAAGATCATGTGTAGTACGAAATCTTAGTAAGCGTACACATCAAGTTAAGGGTGAACTTCCCAGCTCACCTGCTGTAGCTTGACCTGCAAAGTCGACAGACTGAACGCCTGTTGTTAGTAGGATATTATAGCTCATCAATAAGCTCAAACAAACAGGCGTACTTCATGTCTAAACTATCGACTTTCGAATGCGAGCCAGGAACCTAGATCAAGGACTTGATGATGTCACAGGTATTCAGTGTTTCACAACGCTTCTACCAGTAACACCTTCTAATATGTTTCGTTCCCACCAAGAGAAATCAAAAGACAGAGTCGAGGAGATCGGAAGAGTATATTTGGCGATGACCAATATACCGGGATTCTCTGATCTAATCTGGCTAGCGATTGTGGTTGATGTTGAGCACGGCGTTACTACACGTGATCTGGTGCGGATGCCTGACCGAGCGCCTTCAGCTAGATGAGTCCACTAAAACATATGGTCAGCATCCAATGTCGAAAACTTACAGAGCTATTTATTTTAGGGATTTATTTACCGCTACAGATCACTCCCCCCCTAGTGGGGCAGTGACGACCCTAAGACGTGGCCAGCCAGAAGTTTAAACCCAACGAGTTTGTCGTTGGTAAACACTCTTCTGATAGCTTACTAAATTTAGCAGCGTCTGGTCGTCTTTCCTTACTATATGGGACGGAGGTACAACATAGTAAAAAAAAGAAAATGTACAATGAAAATTTCGGATCCTCATAAACGTCATCGTTCTTTTCCAGCCGTCCTGGAAAAGAAAAAAGAAAATGTAAGTGCATGTCGAAATACACTCGTATATGCGTAAAAACACAAGGTCGGCGGAAAAAAAATGGAAAATAAACTCATGAGCACGTAATAGCGTTAAAAAATTGTTTTTTTTGTTTTGTTTTTTTAATAGAAATAAAAATATATAAGCATATTAAAATTGTTTTTTTTTCAAAAAAAAAATAATATAAAATGTCGAGAAGTGCCTTACGTGCAATAGTCGTTTAAATGTTCTGGAAATCTCACCCTTCTTCCAGAACGCGTCGTTTTAAGTTTATTTTCGGATACTGTCGAAGTATCTTCGTGTGCGTTGGTTGTCGGATGAGGTATTATTAGTGTCTGAGTCGTGTCGTTCGATTGTACCGAAGGAAAATCGACGTGGATAGGATTTCCTTCTAAATACGCTGCTTTTAAGCGATCGATGCTGATGCTATCGTTGGTTCCGTTCTTATCGACTATATAGTACTTAGATTCACGTTGAAGAACTTTGAAGGGTCCTTCGTATGCTGATTCGAATGGTCGTCGATGCGAGTCTCGACGAATGAAAACGTGTGTACTATATGGTAAGTCAGGTTGAACGAAAACATCAGTTGATTGAGGTCGAGTGGAAGCAGGTTTAACTGAACGCATTGCGTTTGTAAGCCTGTTCGTGTAGGAGGTTAGATCCATGTTCATCGAAGAGCACGAAGGATCCACGAATTCTCCTGGAAGTCGAAGTGTCGTTCCATAAACGAGTTGAGCCGCAGTGTATCCAATGTCAGCTTTCACTGCATTGCGGATACCTAGTAAGACGAGTGGAAGAGCGTCGGTCCATTGTGAAACGTTTGCAGCTGATAGCGAAGCTTTCAGTTGTCGGTGAAAACGTTCTACCAACCCGTTTGCTTGGGGATGGTAGGCGGTCGTTCGGAAGCGAGTGATTCCTAAAAGTGTGGTCAGACGACGGAAAAGATCAGATTCAAACTGACGTCCGCGGTCTGTAGTGATGGTTGAAGGGCAACCGAAGTTTGCTACCCATCGTTCGACGAATGTGCGGGCCACTGTTTCAGCAGTGCTGTCCTTGATAGGTACTGCTTCTGGCCATCGAGTGAAACGGTCTACGCAGGTTAAGAGATAAGAGTATCCATTTGAATCTGGTAAAGGTCCTACCAAATCCAGATGAACATGGTCGAAACGAGCATCGGGAGTTTTAAACGAGCCTAAGGGACATTTATTGTGTCTGATAACCTTAGATTTTTGGCAGCTTACACAGGAGCGTGCCCACTCCCTCACGTCTTTATTCATGCCAGGCCAGCAAAATCGTTCTGCTATAAGCTTGATGGTTGCACGAACACCTGGATGAGAAAGTTTGTGCAATGTGTTGAAGACATTGCGTCGATAATGTTTCGGCACGATTGGGCGATCCCTACCTGTAGATGTGTCACAAAGTAAGGTTTCCTTACCTGTTCCCATCTGTTTGATGCGTAGTTTAAGTGTTGTGGACGATAACTCGTGCTGAAGATCACTGTCTTCTTTTTGAAGCTCGGCGAGTTTAAGAAGGTCGATTCCTTGGAAACTGTTCAAGGAAGTTATACGAGATAAAGCGTCTGCAACTACATTGTTTGCTCCAGAGATGTGTTGAATATCTGAAGTAAACTGCGAAATGTAGTCCAGTTGTCGAGACTCACGGGGAGAGTACTTGTCAGAAGGAGAGCTTAACGAGAAAGTGAGCGGTTTATGGTCCGTGAAAAGAGTGAATTCACGGCCTTCGATATAGTGTTGGAAATGCCGTACAGCACAATACATAGCTAGGAGTTCCCTACCGAATGTGCTGTACCTCGATTCGGTGTCTAGCAACCTTCTAGAGAAAAATGCCAAGGGTTGCCAGGAGTTGTTAACCCATTGTTGTAAGACTCCTCCGATTGCTGAGTCGGATGCGTCTACTGCGATGCTAATGGGTGCTCGGGTGTCCTGATGTGCGAGCATTGTTGCTTTAGCAATCAGTTCCTTGACTGTGGAGAATGCTTTTCGTGCGGTGTCGTCCAAATTAATGGATTTCGCATTTCCACGAAGTTGGTCGGTCAGAGGTTTCATAAGTGATGCGCATCTGGGTATGAAACGTCTATAGAAACTTACCAGGCCGTTGAACGTGCGTAATTGCTTGACGGTGGTCGGTTCTGGGTAATCCAGAATGGCCGCCACTTTGGTTCTAAGGGGTCGGATACCTTGAGCATCGATAGTGTGTCCCAGAAAGTCTAACGAGTCGGTTCCAAATTGGCATTTCTGAACGTTTACAGTTATGCCATGTTTTTGTAATCGTTCGAAAACAAGGTCCAGATGCTTGAGATGTGTTTCTCTGTCCGGACTTGCGATTAGACAGTCGTCAACATACGCGTGTACGAAGTTGAGACCTCGAAAAACGTCGTCTATGAATCTTTGGAATGTTTGAGCAGCATTCCTTAGACCGAAAGGCATTCGCAAAAATTCATAGAGTCCGAAGGGAGTTATGATAGCCGTTTTCGGTATGTCGTCAGTGGCCATAGGGATTTGGTTATACGCTTTAACCAAGTCGATTTTCGAAAAGACAGTTGTACCTTTCAAGGTAGCTGTCAAATCGTGAATGTGAGGCAACGGGTAACGATCGGGAATGGTTTTCGCGTTCAATCGCCGATAGTCACCAGTTGGACGCCAATCGTTGCTGTCCTTTTTAGGGACCATGTGCAACGGAGATGCATATGGGCTACTTGACGGTCGTATGATTCCTAAGTCCATCATGTGATCGAATTCGTTTTTCGCTAACCTTAGCTTTTCAGGAGCTAGTCGTCGTGCTTTAGAAAATACAGGTGGTCCTGTAGTCGTGATGTGATGTGTAACATTGCTGGTTACACACGGTAGTTTCGTTTGCGTTTGTTGTATCCCAGGGTACTTATCGAGTAGTGGTTGATAGAGTGGGTCTATCATATGTTTAACTGTGACTGGGGATACTCTACAACCAGTAAAAGAAGTTACGCAAACGGACAAATTAGTGTTTCCGTCTACTAGCCTCCGTTTGCGAGTGTCGATGATCAGATTGTGGTGTTGTAGAAGGTCCATACCAATGATTGGCATAGAAACATCTGCAACGACGAAAATCCAGTGGATGGGTTTGCGTAAACCCACGTTAAGGTAAACGTACCTTTTGCCATACGTAGCGATCGGTTTTCCGTTTGCCGCCTGTAAGTTTAGGGTCGATTCGTGAAGTCGGTCGTTAGGATTTGCTGGGAGAACGCTAACTTCTGCGCCAGTGTCGACGAGGTAGCGAACTCTCGTTGTCACATCTGTGACGAATAACAGACGGCTTTGTTCGCCGGCTACGGTTGCCGTTAACGCGTGCCGGCTTGGAAGTTTCCCGAATCAGTCGGTTTCGTGTTGGGAAAATTGCAGGGTTTTCTGCAATTTCTGGAAAACTTTCCATACTGGTTATGATACCAGCACCAGTCGGGGTTATCTGTCTCTCGTGGTCTAGAGACAGATCGCTTACGAGAAATGCTTCTACGTGGTGTGCGCGATCTCTTACGGTCGGTACGAAGACTAAGATAACGCGTGAGTGTGTGACATAAGTCGGTTATGTCATTCTGAGTCGTGTGAGGCTTTTCTTTGACTGAAAATACCTCGGTAGTAGAAGGTTTCGTAATTTCTAGAATGCGGTCGGCAGATACAGCTAGTTCGTCTAAGGCGTTGTTCTGGAACGAGACCAGAACTGCTTGCACCTGTTGGGGAAGTTTTGACAAGAAGAGTTGTTTGAATAGACCTTCGTCGAAAGTTCTTGGGCCTATAACCTCTCTCATCCGTTGCAACATGTCCGTCGCAGAACCGTGTTGCAGGTCGATATTGTTGAAGAGTTGATCTAACCTTTGTCGATCGGTTAGGTCTCCTCGTTTAAGAATCGAGCGTTTTAAGATTTCGTAAGGATCGGAAACATCACTAGTAAACATACTAGGTGTTACGTACCTGTTGAATTCCCGCGGCAGTGCCTTGACTACTGCGAGGAATTGTGCACGTGTGTCGATCACGCCGTGCTCGGAAAAGTCGGCTTCTGCGTAGCAAAACCAGGCTTCGATGTTGTCGGGCCAGAAAGGCATCAGTTGAAACGAAGGTGGGGACAAGGTCTTAAGCTTGAGTACTTTAGGTGTCTGTTCAGTCATGATGAAATATGAAGTACGATAATGAACGAGGGGAAAATATATATATATATCCAAGAAAAACACGAAAAAAAATCACAATGTTTAAAAAAAATAAAAAATAAGGCAATGATATATAAAAATCCCAAAAAGGAACAGACTCACAGTTGCAATAAGGTGTACCAGATCACGACGGTCTCACCAATGATGATGTCACAGGTATTCAGTGTTTCACAACGCTTCTACCAGTAACACCTTCTAATATGTTTCGTTCCCACCAAGAGAAATCAAAAGACAGAGTCGAGGAGATCGGAAGAGTATATTTGGCGATGACCAATATACCGGGATTCTCTGATCTAATCTGGCTAGCGATTGTGGTTGATGTTGAGCACGGCGTTACTACACGTGATCTGGTGCGGATGCCTGACCGAGCGCCTTCAGCTAGATGAGTCCACTAAAACATATGGTCAGCATCCAATGTCGAAAACTTACAGAGCTATTTATTTTAGGGATTTATTTACCGCTACAGACTCAACTCCATGCCTCATGAAAAGCACCTCCAATCATTGGATCTTTGCTCACTAAAGCACAGAAGTCCCGAAATTGGCTGCTGACCGAGCTTGTGCAAGAAACCCAGCAGAAGTCCTTTGAGAGAAAACTGAACATATTCTTATGGGCTGAAGACAGTTCCTTGCTAGAATTTATCAATATTTTTTCTCTTTTATTGCTAAATGTTCCTAGGTTCCTACTCGCCGTAATCGCTGACTCATCGTTACCAGATACGGAAGTCTGTTAAGCGAAAGCTTCCTCTATTCCGTCCAGAACCCTTTGAACCATTTAATGTGACCGAAGATAATTGTCCCGCGTAGAATAACGTGGTTCAGTACGTCAGCTTTTTTGGTTGTACACAGTTTGGAGGCCTTTTAGTTAACTGGTAAGGAGATTTCGAATTGTTTTTACACATGCTTATGTGTGTCCAATCACTACTCAACCCAACCACTTGACTCACGAGGAAATCTTGATAATCATAAGGAACCCCATAGGAAATGCTGTGTTTTATCAATAATATTTGTCAAAACCAAGTGATTGTCACTTGATGTTGAATGATGTGTAATATGATAAATATAAAGTCTGGTTTCGCAAAGCTTTTACAAATCCCACATTTTCTGGTTATAAACGATAGAACATTACTGGGCGTATACAGCGTACGCTGGACAATGATGTCCAGGTTTAATCCTACTTATATTCCAAGCACACGCATGAGCTCCTGAGGCTACCTCGGGAATGCGTAAGCCTATAACTGTTAAATCTATGGATTGAAGGGAAAAGTTAGGGATAGTTGCTGAGTTGTAAATATCAATTTCTCTACACGAGTTCTACCTAAACGTTAGGAACTAATATTTTAGACATCGTGTTAATCAAAATGATTTTTCTGTCATTGTTACAAGAGAATTTTGGCTCTTTCTTGTAGACTGCGATGATCAGGGATCGAGACCGGTTAGATAGAATTACATCCAGTCTTCAAATCCTATTTAAGATCTCAGCTAATCTAACCGCTAAAACTGAACCACCATCCTTAAAAAATCTCAGTAGTCAGTCTATCAGTCCCTGCTGCTCCCCATCATTTTAGATTACTTACAGCCTCTTCAACCTCATTAAGAGTTGGAGAACTCACATCAGTTTGCCATTCCGGTTATTCGGAGACAGTGGGTAACTGAAGTGTGGCTGAAGATTAGTTGAGCTGTTCCCTAAAGTGCTCTACCCATCAGTTCAGTCTCTTGAATTGAGAGCAAATAGTAGTTCCGTCGTTTTCCGAAATATTTTCACCAGCAAACGGATTTTCAATACCCGTTTCCTTGATAATTCTGAACAATTGTCTACTGTTACCCATCGCTGATGCCTTTTCATCTCTTCTGCTTTCGTTACACACAACGACTCACGATCATTACGTAGGCCTTTTTTTTACCAACCTACGTTTAAGATACCTTCGCTCCTTACCATGTTCTGAACCAGACTGGATGAAATTCCGAGCATCTATCAGTTCTGTAGACGCTGCTGAAGTCCACTGATCTCTTTTCGCCTTTTGATTTAATTTGCTGGTTGCTATCATTGCTATTTTCACGACTCTTCGCACAGCGTGTCAAAATGATTCGGTGTGGATATCACCTTCATGGTTGACTAACTACATTTCTCGTCGATTCTGAAATATTTTTCCCATTCTTTCTTATCATCAAGTTGAATTGTGACGAGTTTTCCCACTGTGTATTTTCTGTTTTCTGTAAGACACAGATGAATACGACACAAAATAGGTGTAATAAGATTACTGGGTTGTTAGAAGATTTGAATACTCCGGGGTAGACGAACAGGTGTTCATTAGGGATAATTCTTTACTTACGTACTTACGCCTGTTACTCCCAATGAAGCATAGGCCGCTGACTAGCATTCTCCAACTAACTCTGTCCTGGGCCCTCCTTTCCAGTTCTATCCAAGTTTTGTTCATTTTTCTCGTGTCTGTCTCGATTTCTTGGTGTAATGTGTTCTTTGGTCTTCCTCTTTTCCTTTGGCCTTGAGGATTCCACGTGAGGGCTTGCCTTGTGACGCAGTTGGGTGCTTACCTCAATGTATGTCCAGGGGTAGTTTTTTAGCAAGATTATATTGATACAAATAGTTCTTTTAGGCGATCTATATAAAATTACACAGTAAATTAATTACATTTACCTAATGTTGTTGATTTATAAGGGTTTATGAGTCATATTAAGTGATGAATTAATAAATTAGGGTAATAGTAAACTTGCTTCTTTGAAAGATCGAATCTTATTTGCTATCTGGATAAAATGTCCCGAATATTATACCTGACTTGTATGGGACCATATTTGGAATATAGGGTTCCTTTTTTCAATGTGAAGTGGATACACTAGACCGAGCTCAAGGGTTGAGCTCAAAATTGTGAAAGGTCTTTTTAGATTGTCTTATGAACATAGATTGAGACGCGTCATCCCATGTCCATCTTACCATAGGTTAAGGTGCAATTGAATACTAGCTTATTGCATAATTAACGATGATAATGGTACTATCTTTTTCTTTTGTCTAGGATATCATTTAAGAGAACATACTCAAGAATTTCAAGTATCAAGACTTATCGTTCGCCCCTAAAGTTTCGTCTTTTACATCTATTCGTGAATGACCGCAATTCTGTATCAGAACACGTAATATCACTACCTGTTAGTGCGTTGAAAGTGAGATTGAATCTTCACAGCACCACATATCGTGAGGACTAACATAGGTCACTTGACCTACCCTTACCCTTTAAGACAGCCAAATGGATTGGCTTGGGGGATTATCGTCCATAAAGGGCCAGTTAACAAACATCACCAAAGATCTTTTGGCCGAAGGGACGCGTGAAATTAATGGTTTGTTTTATCTTAAACCAATATCTATCAGCAGATCCTGAAAGTGAATTATCGATTGCACGCACACGTATATATGAACTTGAATCAGTTGTTGAGACTCAGAAGACAGAAGTTAGCAAACATTACCTTTCTGTGTATTGTTAGATTAACTCTCTTAGGTGTAGGAACGAGGAGCTTGTGGTGCAGCTAGAGTCATTACAGCTGAGGCTCGATCACACAAAGGAACTGTTTATTCAACAACTGCGTGAAAAAGATGTATGTTTTCCTCAATTTGTTTCGGTTTTCTTTGTGTATTTCTATGCTATTCCAATCAAATCTTATGACTAAATCTTCAATAACATGTCTACTGCTGGGCAATGTAATCGGTACAGTTGCACTAATTGAATATCCATCTATTTAGGAATTCACATTTTGTGTCTAAATTATGAGATGCAATCGTTGCATATTATGGTTTCTGATATATATATAGTTAACGATTTGTTAATATTTAACGTGTTCAAAGAATGGAAGTTCATAAACAGATAACCTCGTCTAAAAAACTCACATGATTTCTAAGTTATATCTCTGTGCTTCTTCCATGCCCTAAAATTCCGTATAGTTTCTACGGATTTTGGTACAGCATTCACTACATACATTGGTTGTGGATACGTTTACTTTTCATTGTGTATTCCAAATATTAGTAAGAATTTATATTTAGAGAGTTTGATTGTTCTTGTCAAAATATTGGTTTTTACTGTTCTATTATTATCATTAAAGAGTAAGGAGTTCCGTAGTGGAAGATGGCTTTTTTATGGGATTTAATAACCTAGTTTATAATTACACATCTTTCTGTCGTCTCATGATTGCCTATGTAATAATCTGTCATTTAGTTTCCCCATCTGTTTTCCCATGTTCACGAAAAACTGAATGTTGATTCTTTAGATTTTAATTTCCAAGTTACAAGCTGAAGTGTCTAATGAACGTGGGGAACCTGAAGGACAGCCGGAAGCTTCACTTGGGACTACAAGCTGTCTTATTGACAATAGTGTAACCAAATCTGGACTAACACAGTATCCTGGTGAGTAATTCATATACTTGTTCCAGCAGGCATTGTGACTGAATTTACTGAGGCTTTTACATACATGATTAAGGGAAAACATGCAAAGAAATTTTAAGAAATCGTGTACCTCACACTCAAAATGGTTTAATTATGCGGAAATACTTATTCTATTCATGTGTTAATAATCCAATAACTGTCCACTGTACATGCAATCAAAATCGTTAAATCATCAAATCATCTACTATTAACTTCCTTTAAACTGCGCCGTTATAGTAATTAGTATCTCAACTAATATCGTGGTTACTCCCTTGGAAAATCTTATTTGCCTCATTAACAGTCCACAGTGTAACCTTTTGAATCCTGGTTGTTGAGCTGGTAGTTGCGAGACCGGACATAAGTCTGTTCTATCTTAAAAAGTGTTTCTTATTGTTAGAAGTCTCTGTATTGGGGTTTTCAGCCATATGAAGTGTTTGTATTGACAAATCATAAACGAAGTAGAGCTTCATGTACCACACTTTGAGAATCATTTGTTGTTGAGAAATAGGTGTTTCCACTTTAATCTTACAGTGAAACTTCAAAAGTTCTCTATGACTGCTGCCTTTAAATGTAGACTACGATGATTGTTTTACAATTATTAGATGGTTTCGCATGAGTCGTTCATAGAATTTTTTTGAATGGAAATCATTTGCCTTACGTAACATATTTGTTTCAGGCAACTGGATAGATTTTCAAATAACTCCGTTCATTACTTTCTCTGAGGCAATTAACATCTTTCTCCATTTTCTTAGATCTTGCAAGTGAAGATCATCAAGTTCCGTCAACTGTATCACATCCAGATGGCACAGTCACTTGGGAAGAATTAAAAAATGAGGTTGTCCAACTTCGTGCAGAATTAACTAAATGGAAGAAAGTTGCCAAAAAAGTGAGGCTTAAAATTTTTCTTTCGCTTTTACCTTCCGATGTTTCCACAATGCAACTGGAAAACAAGTTACTTACTTGCTTAAGCCTGTCACCCTTCTTGGTTCATAGAACACCGACCAAGGTATGATTTTTTCTTGCAATTTGAGGATTCAAAGTTAGGACTTGACTTGGTGCAGTTTAATGGCTTGTGGGTAGTTTTTATTATCGAACTTCTTATTCTCCTAGTTTCCTCCTCGACTAGTAGCTGTTTTGTCCTCTGGCACAGTATGTCATTGTTGATAGTCTTTTGCCAATGGATCTAGAGTATCTGACTTTGGTCTTAAGTGACTGTTTATTTGAGTTCCAAATATTCTTTAATTGTAGTAATACTTTCCTTGCTCTGTCATTTCGCGCCCTCACATCTGAATCATATCCTACTTTTCACCTCTCCTAGAGTTTCTCCATCAAGTATGATTTATCTGGTGCTCACTGTGCTGTTCTTCATTGTCTTGCTTTCTCCCTTGTGAACGCTGAGGCGTACATTTGTGGAAGCCGTTACCACACTGGCTGTGTTCGTCTACATTTGTTGCTGTATATATGAGAGCAGGACTAAGTCATCTGCCAAGTCCAAATCGTCCAGCTGAGTCCAATGTGTCTAGTCTGTGCTTCTCCTAAGATGTGGAGGTTTTCATAATTCAGTCAAGAACTAGCAGAAAGAGGAAAGGTGTGAGTGGACAGTCTTGTCTAACGTTAGCCTTCTCTTGGGATGTATATGTGGGCTGCCGTTGATGTATGACTTTGCAGTTGATTCCCTCATATGAGTTCCGTATGATAGTGATGGTCTTTTCAGGTACTCCATAGTGTCATACTATCCATACCATATAATTTCTTTATCATAATCAAAAGAGTTGAAATGTGATGAGTCCTATCCACTTACTAAGATCTTTTTTCGGTATCTTAGTGAGTCATCCATCTTTCTTTTCTGTTGGCACTTGTACTTCTTCCAGGATTGCAGCTTCCTGTCTACTTGAATTTAGTGCTTCAGCTAGGGTACTATTTGGTTTTGTTGCTTTGCCATTCTTACTTAGTCTGATGGCCTTGCTTATTCCTTGTATGGTTGATAGGGGACTATATATATGGAGGTCTGTTTATATTACTTGAATGTTTTGGGGGCTCAGCGTGGCTGGTCTCTCCAAGAGCCCTTCAGGACACTCTAATTACCTGTCCCTCTGCTCTTAAACCTCAGTGTTTGGTTTACTTTCTTTGTTCTTAGCTATGCGCTATAGTCTGCTATATTTCCATGTGTATGAGGCATTTTCTTCATGACTGTATTTCAATATCACCTTTCTGGAAGCTAGTCTTGTTTTATCCGAATTGGCTCCATTGAGTTTGGCTTATTGTAAGCCCAGTTAGGTTGTATCTTTTCATTTCTGTGGCTATTTGATTGGCTATCTCTTTGCCTCCCGGATTGTTTAAACGTTTCACGTCACCATGTCTATTGTCATCTTGTTGGGGATTTGGCCTAGTGACTTCCAAGGATTCCCGACTTTTATCGTGAGGCGTTATAACTCTTCTACATGAGGATCATTCAACGTCTACTCACTGCCTTCTCTTGGCGGTGGTGTTGTTTCCGAAAATGAGAGGACGAAAGGCGAATGTCCGGCGCTCTAACCGGATTCCAAACCAATTGTGCACATGGACTCCAGTATCCTGCGGGAACAAATGGCATATGAACCAACCGTTGGTCACCGACTTCCATGGGACTGCATCTCCTTACGATGCTCCACTGCCTTGTGGATCAGACCTTCAGGTCGAAGGCTCGGGAGTGGCCCCCTAAGAAAACCACCTGCTTCGGTTTGGGCTCCCGGGCAGTATCACGGCCCTCACACATATCGAATGAAATTTGTGTGGCGCATATGTATTTTGTGCCTCATCAAAACGTCTAAGGGAGAGTTTGATTAGGTAGAATGCATTTTTGGCTAAAATTTACTAGTGTTCTTTTTGACGGGTGGGGTAGTTAACCCTACGTTCATCTCTGTCTTATCTGGTCTCAGGACCAGTCTTAACCTTAGAGGGATTTCAGGTGGAGTCGGGTTACGATCTACAAACTGATAAAATAGACAGATGGCATGGTGTGAACAGAATTGAATCTAAAATAAACAGACATTGGTCTAAGTTACTACACCTGATCAGCATAAAAAATAAAGAAAAAAACAGTGTAGGACTAAAAAAGGTAATATCGAAATGAACGAATGTAAATAGGTTTCATTACTAAAGTTTGACTTGATAATTTCGAATAAGTTGAACACTTGGTACGTTGTTATGAATAAATTAATATCTTTATACTATTCCAGTATGTGGAAATTAACTTGGATTAATTTCGATTTGGTTATTTATTCTCTGAAGGAGTGGCTTACGCTTAGTCACGAAACGTCATAAAATCTCATTTTTGTACAAATATATTGTTTTATTTAGAACGAATTTAAATGAAAACCGAAGGATATGGAATACCATAATCCCAAGATTTAAATTTTTTAAATAAGTACAGCTGCACAACCGCGAATAATTTTGAACCATATATATCACCCGCAGTCTCTCGCCTTGGGTTATGGTTGTTTTGCTAAATGTAACGAGGAATTCTGTATCTCTTTACAGGTCTCAAACAAGTATAAGTAACTTTGTGGACTGATTTCATGTGTTGATTTGACCATCTTTTATATTATTTAGTTAACACATAAACATCGGTACAAGGAGGAACCAAATAGATATGCGCCACATAACATATTATTATATTCCGCAATCTAACTGACATCTAATGTAATTGAACTTAAAGATAGGGTGATTCTCAAGAGATAGTAAATTCTTGAGTTCATCTCATCACTCCTCTAGTTTAAAATTTTCAACAATGAACACTTACCACTAACCATATGGTTCCTAATATATTTTCATGGATCACGTCACAAATCATTTGTTCCAGGCCTTATACAACGCAGCATTCACAGTTCCCGGTGTTTGACAGTACTTGTCTCTCTCTTGTTTTTTTCTCCCACTAATTTACATCTGAAGAATAGTTTCATCAGTTCAATTTTAAGATTGTTTCTTCCTTTTAACGTCTCGTTTTTCTAGAAAGAAAAATCTTCAGATAACACTTCATCACATCAGTTGTTGAACATAGAGTTGGAAAATCAAATTGAAGTAAGTAGAATTTTTTTATTTTTATGTGACATAACTTTAGATTTGTTAAATGGTGTTGAAAATAGCATTCCATAAAATGTTTAGAAAAGATTTTTATTTACAGTCATTCAACTATATTTCTTGAGCTACTAAAATCTTATTTAATTAAAGAATATGTAATAATTTTTGATCCACACGTTTATGCTTTAAATTCTTATTTTAAAAAACCCAACAAAATATGATAAAATTATCCCTTTCCGGTCAAGCTACTGATATTGTCCAAAAACTACTATGAATTAGTTAGATGACTATAAACAATAGTTTTTAATAGTTAACTTAATTACGCCTGTTACCCCTCGTAGAGGAGCATAGACCACCACCAACACTGTCCATTGAACTCTTTTCTGGGCAATCATTGGCAGTTGCCATTCATCCTTTTGGTGTCTACTTCCAATTCCCTCCGCAGTGTATTCTTTGGTCTTCATATTTTCCGTTTCCGTTCAGGATTCCAAGTAAACGCTTGCTTCGTGATGTAGTTCGGTGATTTCCGCTATGTATGTCCTATCCGCTTCCAACATGATTTCCTAATTTTCACTTCAGATGGAAGCTGGCTTATTCTCTCCCACAGTCGAGTGTTTCTGGTTTCCGGCCAACGGACATTGAGTATCTTGCGTAGACAATTGTTTAGAAATACTTGTACCTTTTTGATGATGATTGTGGTCGTTCTCCAAGTTTCAGCCCCGTACAGTAGAACTGTCTTGACGTTCGCATTGAAGATCCTGACTTTGATGTTGGTTGACAGTTGTTTCGAGTTCCATATGTTGTCCCACTATGGGAATTCTGCCCTTGCTTTGACAATCCGTGCCTTTACATCTGCATCAAATCCTCCACGTTCATCGATGATGCTGACCAGGTACGTGAAAGTTTCCACCTTTTCTGGGGCTTTTTTACCGAGTAAGATAGGGTTGGCGCACGCCGTGTCGTATTTGAGAATCTTGGTTTTCTCCTTTTGAATGTTGAGACCTACCGCCGCAAAGGCTGCTGCCACACCGATTGTCTTCATCTGCATTTATTGGTGTGTATGAGATAGAAGGGCTATATCATCTGCGAAGTCCAAATCATCTAATGCGTCTTTGTAAATATGTATTCTTGATTTTTCTGATTATTCGAAGTAAAGACTTCCTGGATAGATTTGAAGTAACACATGAACACTGTATCATGAAATAATGGGGATTTTTTATTTTATCTATTATTTATTTAACATCCACGTATCCCAATCATTTAATATTTCCCTATATATCCCTTCTTTGATATCCTTGCCATCTATAACTTCGTGTGAAAACCTTCATTAGATTTCATTTATTCATGAATATTATTTACAGAATTTCGTTTCAATTATATATGGTTTCTTGCCTGTGTTTTCTTTAACATTTCTTACCAAGCAATTAAAACGACAAGTCAGTGACTTACAAGAAACACATAGGAATGAAATAGCTGCCGTACAAGAGAGTCATTCAGATCATTTGTCTAATCTTGTGGAACAGTTAAAAGAAACTGAAACTGAAGTGATTAAACTTCAGAAACAGGTAGATGAATTTCAGGACCGCTCAAGTTGTGTTGTCAATCTTAATCAAACTGATCTTGGAAATATTACCTTTAAAAGTACTTTTAAAACTGATAAATCAGTCTGCACTGATGTCAGTGATTTAACAATGTTTGTTGAAAGTCAAGAAAATTCGAAAAAATCACGTCCTAGTAAAAAGAAGAAAAAGAAACCAAGTAGGTTACACCTCTACTTTTCTCAGTATTTATTTAGATTGATCTCTTAAGCCTATCTTTAACCGTTTTTGTTGTAGACGTTTCTTAGTCGTTATAGATAAGTGTAAAAAAAGGCAATCAAAAGGAGTCTATATTTGTTATGAGAAGTTACAAAGTATTGACATAATACATGTACATAGCCCTCAATGTTCCATTCGCATCTTCCGGTATGCTCTGCCCTTTGAACTGTCTTCTCGTCTGGTCTCCAAGTGTTCTGTCGACGCCGTACTTTCGATCTAATGAAACTCTTCACTTCGTCTGATTTGTTGCAACTTCGACGCCACTATCCGCTAAACTACTTACGAATAGTCTTGTGAGTAGCATCCACTATATAAGCACTACTAATATTTTATTTCTCGAGTGAAGATGCATCTGTGGTCGATTTCCTTCGATTAACAAAACTCCATTGTTATATACTAAACATTATTTGTCCCAAACTGTTAGAAAACGAATTGATATCAATTTCAAAAGTAACCGAGGGCCTGTAGTTTATAGATTAAAGCATCCTGTACATAACTGTGAATATTGGTTTTTTGTTCATTCATATTCGTACACAAGACTGTGAGCCACGTCTGCTGCTTAAATGTTAACACCAAAACTTAGATGTCACAATTTCTCTGTTTCTCATGGGTTCAAGTACTAGGTCACTAAGCCGTGGCTTCATTCATGTCTTCCTTCTAGTTTTGGTTATGTAGTTTATTTCACGTGTTTGGGTTATTGATGATCTAAACTGTTTGGAACATTGCTTAAGGTTGACTATTGTCAGTGAATAAACAATGTTAATGAGCTATTTAAGTCAGTTAAAATGTATCTTTATGAAATCTCAGGCAGTTAACTGATGATGTGTTTGAATAATTAAGCACCATTTCGTGTGTGAATAATTTCTAATCACATTATTATTATTACTATTGGTATTAGTATTTGTTCTAGTGGTAATGTGGCGTATGGTACTTATATCTGTCGACATAAGTAGTATGTAACATTAATCAGAAGTGGAATGCCTGGCAACAGAAGGCTAAGAAGATCGACTTGAAGAAAACAGAAATGGAAATAAAAGGGAATCGTAAAGTGAAAGAATCATACATAATGTGAAGGATAATTGGTGAACGGTTTGCAAATGAAGTATTTAATGTATGGTTTCCACATTTTACGAAAGAATCCTGTAATTTTTCATTAAACAATAAATTGCTTGTCCCCACACAAGTCCCGTTCATTACAGTAGTAGTAGCAGCAATAGTAACATGCATATATTGTGTCACTACTTCCTTATTTGCTATTTTCTAATCCAATAGTTTCAAATGTGATTTATGCAATTCATTTAAATTTATTTTACTGTAGCTACTCGATGGGATGCAACAGATATTGCAAAGTCTTCTAAATCAGTTTCTTGTGAAATGTCATCCCAGGTAGATCAAGTTTACTTTCATTCAGCCTTAGTTTTAAATCTCCTTTTTTCATTGTGTTTGTTGATTTTGCATATCTTGTTCGCACTCTGTCCATAGTACAAAACTAATGCGAATAACCTGTTCATCGATTGAATTTTATAGTCTGCTTACTACGTTTTTCATCTGCCTTTCGGTAGCTAAAGATGATACAGTGTCATTGTTTGCAGCTAAAAAAAATTTATACGAACTGTACAATATATAACTATACTTTTATTATAAAATTATTTACCATTATCCATCAATCATTGTACCAGTGATTTAAATTTATGTTCATGATGCCTACCTACTAACACTTAGACTGAGCGAAAATAATCTAGATTATTTATTTATTTGGACACATGAATATTGGTACAAGAGAGCGCCAATATATATGCGCCACACAAAACAATGAAAATTCGAGAGGAATACAAAGAAAGAAAAAAAAGCTAAGGAGCGCAACAAAAAAAGAGAGAACAATAACGAAGAGATTGGTGTAAGGTAATGTGCTAGTAATCAGGGAACGCAAAGGTACAATCGGAAGAAATCTTTCAGGTAAGGGAGACACAACCACCTTTTATGAAGAAAGTAAAAGAAGGTTACAGCAGGATCGCCACTGGCTTCTATTCTGAGCCATATCTGATAACGTCTCTAGCCACTGTGTAGCACCATCTCTCAGACCCCAACCAGGGAGTCGTGAAGGACCAACACAAGCCAGTCCTTTGCAGCTTTCTTTCATGCCACGACACCATGTCATGCACTGACCACCTCTCCGCTTCTTCCAACCAGTCCCAGAGTCGGCAAATAATGCACGACGTGGAATTCTCTGGGACGACATTCGGAGAACATGTCCAAGCCACCGAAGTCGGTGTTTCAAGATGGTGACACCAATTGAATTATCATCTCTGTGCCCGAACACACGATGCCGAACCTCTGCATTACTGACATGGTGTTGCCACTGAATGTCAGCAATCCTTCGGAGACAGCGATGATCGAACACAGAGAGTCGTCTAACGTCCTCAACTCGGAGAGGCCAGGTTTCACAAGCATAGAGCAAAACTGCTCTCACCGACGCGTTGTAGATCCGACCTTTTACAGCCAGACTAACATCACGAAGGCGCCAAAGGTGGCCCAGATTGGCATAAGCCGCTCTGGCTTTCACTATACGTGCATTGATCTCATCACTCACACCCCCACCAGCACTTATGCAGCTACCCAGATACACGAACTTCTCGACTACGTCTATCTGCTCACCATCCAGGGTGAGTACAGGATTGGAATCCTGCCAGTCTTGTAGAAGTACTTTGCACTTCGAAGGTGCAAAGCACATACCATACCTACGGACACTGATTGCCAACTGATTAAGTGCGGATTGCATGCCTTGGGCATTATCGCACAGTAAGACAATATCGTCCGCATACTCAAGGTCGAGAAGTCTTTCTCCAGGCAACAGATCCACACCACCATTACTTACATTCATCAGAGCTGTTTCCAGAATGTCATCGATGGCAAAGTTGAAGAGGAATGGTGAGATTGGGCAACCCTGCCTAACCCCACTGCTCGAATGGAACAATGGAGAGAGGTGGTTGTATGCCCTCACTCTGCCTGAGGTGTTTTTATATAGGGCTTTTAGGATGTTAATAAACTTCTCAGGCACACCCTTCTTCAATAGACAATCCCAGAGAACAGTCCTGTCCAACGAATCGAAGGCAGCCCTGATGTCAAGAAACACTACGATTGTTGGCCTTTGATAAGTATGGCGGTGTTCTAACATTTGGCGGAGGGTGAAGATATGATCAATACATCCTCGACCAGAACGAAACCCAGCCTGCTCCTCGCGAGTCAATCTTTCTCGGGTTTTGAACAACCTACGAAGTATGACGGAAGCCAATAGCTTGGACGCAATCGGAAGTAGACTTATCCCCCGATAGTTGTTACAGGAACGACGTGAACCCTTTTTAAAGATAGGGACAACTATCGACTCATTCCATGACGTTGGTACACTCTCTAGTTCCCAAACCTTTGTAAACAACGTCGTCAATTCCTTAGTCAAAAAGTCACCACCATCTTTAAAAAGAGCCGGAGGTAAGTCATCTGGGCCAGGTGATTTGTAACGCTTCAAGAGTTGGAGTTCCTTGCGGACTTCCTCCTCGTTTGGTGGATCAGTCGTCACCGGCCATGGAGGGCAGGACAGTCTGACCGATGTTGCCGGAGCAGCAGGCCAGTTGAACTGCCCTTCGAAAAATTCTGCCCATCGTCCAAGACGTCGATGGATGTTAGTGATTGGCATCCCATCATCCTCGCAGATTGTTTCACTCACACCAGACTTCTTGCTGCCAGTGGCTCGGATGAGCTGGAAGAGCTTCCGGTAGTTACCAGATGCAGCTGCTGCTTCCAGCTCATTAGCACGCTCCAACCACCAGGCTTCTCGGTCCTTACGCAAGCTTTGCCCAATTTCCTTACGTAACATCCTTCGTTTATGGTCAAACTCACGGTCACCCGGAGTAGACCGACGGGCTTCAATGAGTTGTAAGGAACCAGAAGAAACCCAGTGCTTAAAAGCGGGACGTTTCGCAAACCCACAACTGACTGTTCCCGCCATTTTCATGGCGTCATGCAATTGCAACCAATGCTCATCTATACTTTTCGGTGGAGTGGTAGCTAGCCTAGAGGCTAGCTCGGTTCGATACTTACTTGCAACAGAAGTTGCAACCAGCTTGCTAACATCAATCCGTTGGTGGCGGTCACTTCGTTGTCCACTGAAAAGTAAGGCAAGATTGGCGCAGACCAAGGCATGGTCAGAGTCCAGATAGGTACTCCAAAAGGAGCGGCAGTCTTTTACACAACCACGCCAGCGGTAGCTGATCGCGATGTGATCAATCTGAGTCCAGGCTTGAGATGCAGAGGGAGGACGCCAGGTGGCACATCGGCGATGACTGTGCCGAAAGTTAGTGCTAGCCAGAAACAGGTTGTGGTCTGTGCACAGTTGCAGTAGACGGTCCCCGTTATCTGACCTGCGACCAACGAGTCCCCATCGGCCACCTAAACGACTCTCTTCTGTGCCTAGACGCCCGACCTGAGCATTCAAGTCTCCGGCTAGTACTACAATATCTGTCGAACGCACTTTCTGGAGAAGAACAGATAACTGGTGGTAAAACTCATCCTTGATTGCATCCGGGCTGCAATCTGTCGGGGCATAGGCGGAGATGACGAAAAGACATCGTTTCTCACGCCGATTTCTTCTCACTTTGATGGAACTTTCTAATCTAACAGCACATAACCGACTGTTAATGGGGATCCAATCGACTAGTGCTGCCTCAGCTCTAGCGCTTAGTGCGACACCAACGCCAGCAAGACCAGACGAAGATGCCACAGGGTCCCCGGATAAGCGCACGTAAAACAAGCTTTTCGAAGCGACAGATGGAGATCGAATTTGTAGTACTTCGCCAGAGTCTTGAATACGGGTCTCGGATAGACAACAAACGTCGATATTAAGACTTTCCAAAGACATAGCCAGCCCTATCTGTTGTCCGACCTGCATAAGTGTGCGAACGTTGAAGGCAGCCAGTTTGAATGGTGCACGTGGTTTCAGAAAAACTGCTTCAGTACTCATATTCGATGGTAACATACAATTTTCAACCGGACAGTGACTCGAGAACGTTTAGATACAGTCGGATTTCCACCAAAGACGAGCCGCTGTATAAGTATAAAAGAGGGTGAATAATGTGGAAAATAATAATAATAATAATAATAATAATAATAATAATAATGACAATAATAATAATAGTATTAATAATGACAATAATAGTAATGATAATTATTTGAATCGATTGATTGTTTTTCGGAGCGAGAAAAGCAGTTGCCATAGACATAGAGTTCATCGTTTGTGTGTGGGCTGTGATACTGCCCGGGTGCCCAAACCGAAGCAGGTGGTTATCTTAGGGGGCCACTCCCCGAGCCTTTGACCTAAAGGTCTAACCCACAAGGCAGTGGAGCATCGTAAGGAGATGCAATCCCATGGTAGCCGGTGACCAAAGATTGGTTCATACGCCATTTGTTCCCGCAGGATACTGGAGCCCATGTGCACCATTGGTTTGTGATCCGGTTAAAGCGCCGGACATTCGCTTTTCGTCCTCTCATTTTCGTAAACAACACCCCCGCCACGAGAAGGCAATGAGTAGGACTTCCCTGGCAGAGGCTGTATACGCGCGGCCGTGTGAGAGTATTTCGAGAGGGAGAGCGGACTCACCGCACTCTGGGCCGTACCAGGGCATTCAGGGGCGCATCTAGATAGTCACAAACTTGGCCATTATCATATCTTAAATTAAGGCGGCTGTTTTAGCGATACTCATTTTAGAGATAAAAAGAACACCGATCTAAAATCCTTTCACTATATCAGTACATTTTCCCATATGCAGAATATGAATCTTACAAATCTTTCCTATGTTTGTTTGGCTAGATCGTTATTCCTATTTGATATTGTCCTAGTAATGAAAAATCTTAAAATCACTTTTCCATAAACATACTGATTTTTCCCTGTTCAACTGTTAGGATTTGCCACTTTGTGCTTATGACTAGTTCTGACCATCTTATAGTGCATCATGGTTATTTGGGTTGGTTAAGAGGGACATTTTAAGGTCTACTGAATAGAAATTTCATTAGACTTTCTGAACAAACCAAATATTGCGAAAGAACGTACGATTCAGCCTAATCAACGGCAATTAGTAATCGTGCAATGTATATTGATCGAGCTATGTTGTCATTAGTTCCTAATTGATTAGAGTCAGTTTCAGGTTATATCACCTGTGATTTTCAGCCACTGATTTAGGATGTTTTACGAATTTTAGACACGGGACCTCCACTTCTCCTACGTCATTAATTATTGACACTATGATTCGTTAACATCTTTTCTAGATCACTCTGAACCGTTTCCTAACTACTTCTACTGCAATTAATGTTACTTTTTGAAGTAATATGAAGTTGATTGTAAATTTTAACATGTCGTATCACAACTTGGTTGCATAAAACTAAAGGAATTCTACTGAGTATTGATAACCGACTCGATGCAGTCTACAGTGAATTAGGTACTAGAATAATGCTTGTAAAGATAAGAATGCTGTCCAGCAACCTATTAGAACCATCTAAATTATAGAAATTTGATTCCAAACCAACTATGTCCATTATACATTAGGTTAATGAAGATATGTAATTCGTTGGATGTTTTCACTCACATGTTTTCTAAAGTGGATGGCTTAATTACTAAGTTTTATTGTTGTTGTTGTTGTTGTTGACGAAATCATCAGTGTCTACCTGAAGTTGCTGATGACGTTGCCTATAATTACAATGGAACCTCTCTGATCCAAATATCCCTATCAAATGACACACAATAACTAAAATTCGTTGGTATTCAAGAATTAAGTGATTGATTTACATCATTTACCGAATAGTTTTGAATTATTACCTTCCTGACACTTGTTTTACTCTAAATGTTAAACATGTACATATGATTATTAGCACTTATATTGATGTATTATATAACTCCTTACTTTATTTGAATTTTTAATAGTACTGATTTGTTGTTGTTGCACAGAATTAACTAATTAACAATAAAAAAACTTTAAAATCATTTTCTTATTATTTTATAGACTGATTATAGTCAAATGAAGGATTCATCTGTTCAATCTGCTGATCAAGTTGACACAAATGGTAAGCAATGACTATCGGAATTTCATCACATTACTTATATTATTCTTATTAATCAGTGAAATTTGTTTTGTGTTGGCTATTTAATGTGATGCAGAAAATATGTCAGTTACATTTATAGTGATGATGAATTGTATGATACATTGAATTAGGGTTGTTCTCTCATTCCTATTATCTAAATTAAGAACTATGGATTAGTGCTACTTCTGTCGAAATACTTATTATTATCTTTAGTGAACTATAAATCATCATTTATAAATGCATTATTTATCAGCCATACATTTTAGATTAGAGAAACTACTGAATAAAAGTCATAATTATCAGTCGAACTAATTAATTATTGTGTAGTTCTAATTTTTTCTTCATTGATCCAATTCATTTTATTGTCGTTGTATTCTGAGAAATGTTGGTCATAGTATATTCTTCAGTAAATCTACATCATTTTACTTAATAAAAACCAATGTATTATATTTAGGAAGGAACTAAACATTTCACTTCCAATTCATTCATCCACATTACAAGTTACATACACGTCTGTATTCATATTGATTACTAACGATACTTCATTGTTAGTTTTTGTTGGGGAGATCCAGAAAACCTTTCGAAAAAAGCCAACAAAGGCTCTGAAAACGCTCAGAAGTATCCTATTCAATCAGCATTCACTAGAAGTTTTGCCAGAAACATTTAGAAAGTGAAAAGTCACATGTTTCTGATTGGATGAGTACCTATACTGCTACTATGTTTAGTAGCGTCCCAGAATTTTCCGGAAACCCAAGGCCATCTATAATACTATAAAAACCCGAGATTTTCTGTGCATAAACGGACCTTTGGAGTAAAGCATCTCTTTCATACTTCATGCCTTTTCTCTCGTGTTCAAGTCGCCGTGTAGATTTAGCCTGGGGGTTACTAGAACAGCTCAGGAACCGAATCTAGCGTTCACTTAGAAAACTTATCAGTTTTCCTGTTTGATAATGTAATCAAACCACAGTAGGAATAAAATGTATATTAGTTTTTCAAAAATAATCACTTTTCATACTCTTTTCTTTGAATGATTCTATCCACAACTGCCTCTGATAAAGTGTTGTGAAATGTCAATCAAGCTGACTGTCTATCATATGTATTCAGTTTAACTTTGGCATTTTTCTTCTAGTGATGTTGTAGATTGGTATTTTAGGATCTATGATGAAATACGTTTAAGGACTGTTAGAATATCAGGTGCGATGGACCTATCGATTCAGTCAGTCAGTCAGTCAGCTACAACGTAGGACCAAGTTGCCATACCTCATTAACACAACAAGATGGACACCGGATTCATAAAAGTAGTTAGTTCAGAGGTGGTAATATATAAAAGAAAGATTGCAATAAGGATATCGTACAGGAAGAAAGAATTATTTCGTAGAAAGAAAGATATGAAGCCGTAAATTAAAACAGAACGGACTGCCGCGCAGTATACTCGTTCTTTTGTTGATAGACGGATATCTCGCCTTCGCCGTAGGTGACGTAAGTTGGCAAAAGCCAAACGAGTTTTTCGAATCCGTGCTGAGATTTCGTTAGACACCAACCCATTAGGGCTGATCAGACTTCCAAGATAAGTGAAGTTTTCAACGCGTTCGACTAATTCACTCCCTATCCTTACTTCAGGTGTTGACGTAGACCAGTCCTGAAGCAACAACTTGCATTTAGAGGGAGAGAAGGGCATTCCAATCCTATCGACCTATCGATTTATAATATTCAATGATATGATGTAGTTACTGATAAATTGGTCACAATACTGAGTACTTGATACAAACCATCGATTGATTTATATCAGAAGATTGGAAAGCTATTTATTTATATAATCTACTCCACTATTATCACTGACTCATAAGCTGCCTTGATGGATTTATTAATTTCGTGTATGAATATAAATATTACTGTACATTAGAGTAAAGCTTGATGAGGATCTAATCGAAAACAATATTGTTCGCTCATATATGTTGCTTTAATTCACAAATTTGGAATTTTTAAAATTTCAGTGTGGTTCATACATTCAGTTTGTAAAACATATACTTCAGTAATATACATGTTTACTTATTAGGTTATATACTGTACATATTTTCTAAGGGCTTTCGATCATAGATTATTTGTTAAACTATTACTCACCCGTCGAATGTTGCAACCAACAAACTTCAGCTCCCTGTGATTGATTACTTACTTTTTTTGGCGAGTTAGTTTTCTACGGGATGGGGTCGCTAACCCCATGCCCAACCCTCCTCCTTTTCCGGGTTTGGGACCGGCAGTAACCCCAGAGAGGCTCCAGGGGGAGTTTGTGATTGATTAGTGGCCCATATAAATCCACTCAGGCAATAAGATTATAGAATTCATTCATCTAACTTCTCAACGTCTATCTTGCTCTCAAATTATTGATTGGTAATACTTATGATTAAAGTTGGAAACTATATTGTTTTTAGTGATCAAGTGCTTTGTGATGTTTTGAATATCTTTATAAGCATGGTATGGTGTAGGTATCAGAACGTGACACGACTATAGGGTTTTATAATTATCAACGATTTGAGGTAATATTATTAATTAATAAAATTTTATAAATTACACAGTTTCAACCACCCTACTATAACGAAATTTATCTCGAATTTCTTAATCCTTACTAAAGTTATTTTGTTTGTGCTTCATTCCTTTTTGTAATTACAAAATTATTGATTCAACAATTTTTCATTCTTGTCATGTCGTTTATTCCTCTCTTTTTCATAGATGCGTTTACTGAAGATTATCTTTATCAATCAAGCAGTTCCACTTCGTAAGTTAATTACTCGGTAATCAGTTGAGATCGTTTTCAGCTATTATTATTTATTAGAGGAGATAAACCCATTTGCCATACAAAATTAGTTCCAATAGTTATTATTCTAGCTATGTTTATACCTCCACCTACTCTTGATATGTATATTGTTATTTTCGTTATTCATTTTAGACAAACTAAAATAATCTTTTTCATCTAAGAAAGACATTGAATTCAAAAGTAATTTTTGACTTTCAGAATCATTGATGCTCAATACGAGTATATTTTCGTAACTGAGATAATGTTTCGTGACAAAGCAATCATAAATAACTTGCTTCACATTAGTTAAAACATCCAAACTACGTGCTAGTATAATATTGATGTTTTCCAAGTTTCTGACTAGAATTAGTTAAAATGACAAATCTTTACTATTTTGAAATCTTTACACTGTGTATGAGAAAGTTTAAGTCATAACTTCCTGAAACCTCATTTCTAAGTGTCTGATCCCAAATATACGCCAAAATATTCCAGAAATATCTACATATTTTTTATTGTACCCTTATCGGTATTCGCAGATAATGAACTCTTCAGTGCTTATTCATCTTCCATGTATCGTGGATACAATATTGATTTTCAGCCTTTTCACAAAGCTTTTTAAAATGTACAACCCTCACTAAACTTTACACAACACCATGTGGTTACTTGTTACTTTGAATGGTCGGTTTAAACAGGCAATTTGAAAGTGACGAATATATCATTGTACTATGTGAACCATTTATTTTATATAAATGGTTCTATTCTCAAGGCTCACTGCTTGCACAGCTGAGACTTACACTTAGTCACTTTCGATAATCTCTTAGTAAACCTATCTGCATATCGATTTCTCTTGTGATACATTCGCCGAATCTCAGGTTTTCATAAGCAACTAAAACCTCTATTATAGCCTTTGAAGCTTTAATTGAAGCATTGTAAATCTGGCAGTGATATCCAGATTATCATAAGCATTTATAAAAATAAATCTCATTCTACATATAGATTAGTTTTATATTTTCTAATTTTCTTTTCCTTTCAAGTGTTCAAACAGATTCTCTAGTTCAATCATTAAGTAAAGAAATGCAAACCGATTCACCATATGAAAAATCAATAACATCAATTCCAACCACGTTAGTTGAAATTCAGTTTTCTTCAACAGATTGTGAAAATGCCTATCATTTAGGAAATATTGACGATGCTTCTAGTAATAATTATCACTTCACATGTTCAAATGAAGCACAACAAACACAATCGTCATTACATAATGTTTTCAGTAAATCTGACGAAACAACCGAACTAGTTGACCAACTTACAAATGAAATAAATACTTATCATCGGGTGATATTCGATATGTTAAATCGTAATGGAATTGAATCATCACAAATCATGTCAGCTTTGTCTCAATCAATATTATTTTCCCAGTCAAATCATGAAACTAATAATGATGTACTTGAAAAGTTAAAATTTTTGATAAACAACGTTCAGTCTCATCATGAATGTATTACTAAAAACGATGTTCAAAAAGTAAGTCTATGATGAACTGGTAGTAGCATTGTTGTTAAAAGTTATGAAGTTATTGACAACCGAATTGACTCACGTTGATAGGTTCAAACTATCTGGTTGGATTTCTAATAGTTAGATACCTCAAGTGGCATGTTGTTCCACACATTTCACTGAAGCAATCCTTTATTGTCTTGCTTACTTCCATAATAACATGGAAAACTCCTATTTTTACAAATGATAGTAATGTTTTTCTTTATAATTTCACACATCTTCAGTATAAATTCACTCAACTAAATATGCATGTTTGAATGTTTTCGTCTGTATAAATTATAAGTAATTTTTCGAATTTAGCAAAACTATCAAAATCTATTATAAAGTAATTTCGGTTTTAAAAAAGATTGTATCATTGTATAACTAATGGATTTCATAAATCAAGAATTAATTCAATTTATTATCGGTTTCTTGAACACGGCTTGTGGATCGATGAATAAAGTAACTTGATTTACAACCACTGGATTGCAAATTTCAACCGTATTTTGGTATTAGAAGCGGACAAGGTCACAAAATCCCACTGAAAACGTATGATTGAAATACGAGTACGTAAATATGTACTTGGAAAATAATTAATATATGTGGTATACTAGAAATAACATATAAGGGTTGCGTGATTTCTATCAAGTATTTATCTGGGTTGTATCTCAACATTAAAATCTGTCATGTGTGAGAACCCACAAAAGTCTATTTATGATTGATTACAGAACAATTTTTTGTTATTCACTTCTAGACTGTGAATATGAGCTTATCTGTGCCTGTTTCTAATACACGTTTATCTGGTGAAATAAGTGATTCTACAGAAGTTGAGTTAGATGCTTGGCAAGATGATGATTTCCCTGAATTGAATTCTAATGCTTCAGAAGAAACGAAATGTCAAAGTGAACTTCCTACTGATAATATACCAAATTGCAATGAAAAACTTCAAGATGAGGTATAGTATGATTTTTTGTATTGATAAATATATTAGAAAAATATATACACAAGTTTATATCAGGAAACTTTGTCATTGATATTGTACTGTTTAAACCTGTGTTAATGTAACTCGGTTATTTTTCCTTTAAGAAAGCCACTTATACTAGATCGCAAAACATTTAAACTCCAATTTTTATACTGAGATCGATGCTAGAAGTATATTATTACTTCTAAATATCTTTTGAAGATTGTACATCAGTTGTCCAGGAACCGGTAATCTTAAACAAATGTTTCTACCTTCAGTTATCGTCACTCAGTAAAAACTCCAGTTATATTATTCTACATAAGTAGTACTTTAGGTGAATCGGTAATAACAAAATGCGATCTGAAGTTTATATATATACTTTCATGCAGAGATTATTATAGCACTGAGCAACAATCCCAGGATATTCAGGATGTGTACTCCCTCCCTCTAAATGCAAGTTGCTGCTTCAAGACTGGTTGGCGTCAACATTTGATTTAAGGTTATGGAGTTAAGAAGTCAAACGCGTCGACAATTTCACTTATCTTGGAGGTCTGATCAGCCCTAATGGGTTGGTGTCTGACGAAATCTCTGAGTGGATTCAAAAAGCCCGTTTACCTTTTGCCAACTTACGTGACCTATGGCGATGGGGAAATATCAGTCCATCAATTAAAAGGACGACTATACTGCCCATCATTTCGTTCTCCTCTACTTTACGGCTGCGAAACGTGGCTATAGAGAGGAAAGGATACTCGTAAGTTACTATTATTTGATCACAAATATAATTTTTATATATTCTGAAAATAATAATTGCAGAATTCACGCCAGTTACATGCATGATCAATTTGATATAAATCGTAACATTAGATGTACGGAACAAACATGTGATAGAAGAAAGTTTTAAGTATACTAGTTCGGTAATCGTTTAGGTAGTACATGTATTTCAGCGATCCAATGCATCAGCCGGGAACTTTTAATTTTTCTTAAATGGACAGCCTGTTGATTTATGAACGGTGTAATTAAGGTCATTTCGTGTGCCAGGTCGAATGAATGATAATTATCTACAACTAGAGAAATTAAAACGAAAACAGAGAGAACGGAACAACAAAGCAGTAATTACCAAAATATGTCAATCAGGTCTACCGAAATGCGCGTGTCATGTGACGCAGTGATATACTGTTGATGTTAGATATTATTCAAATTAGTTAAAGTTGCTAGAGACGGTGTTAACATAAAGTGACAGCAAGTGGGTGGTTTTACTTAGAGAATGCACTAATAAAAATGGCTAAACATATCTTAGAAATATTGCTGTCATCTACTAGGATCACCGAGTAAGTAATAGTGAGGTGAGACGCAGTGTATTAGGAAATAGTGGTAAATCAGTTGATGAGGTTGTGAATTTACATCGACTGAGATGGTTTGGCCACGTATTACACACGCTCAACCACCGATTACCACGACGCGCAATGCTGACTGATGATGAAGACGGGTGGAAGAAAGTTGGTATTGGCCAGACCAAAACGTGGCATCATTCCATAAAGTCATTAAGTTTTGGTCTAAGTCATGTTGGTAGATGCAGACTACTTGATTGGGGTCAGCGCAAATATCGTAACCAGGGGTTGGAGACTGTTTGACATGGCTCAGAATCGATCACAATGGCGTCGGTTTATACACTTTTTGTTTTCTCTTAAACCATAAGATTAGAATAGTTTTATACTTTTCTTTAAACGAACTAATTCTTTCTCCCTATATCATATTCTCATGCACATTCTTTCTTTTATATATTACTACCATTGCAGTAACTAATCCTATGAATTCGGTGTTCATCTTTTTGTACTAAATAGGTGTGGTAACTTTGACCGATGCATATATGTGCCTGGTCCTACGTCGTAAATGATTGAATATCAAAATAATCTATTTATGAATAAAATTTAGTTTACACGTTATCATCAAGCGTAGATTTTGACGTAATTATTGACTCATGTAAACGACTATTCATTGTATCTTCAATAATTTTTCCTTCAGCTCCCATCTTCTCGTAGTCTGAAGGAGAAAATCCAACAACTAGAAGAAATGCTTTCAAATAGTAGTATCGCGAATGCGAATCGTATAGCTGAACTAGAAAGCCAATTAGAACCATTCAATCGTTTACAAAAGTCTTTAAACACAACAGTTTCGGATTTATTATCACTTCCACCACCGCCTACTTTGCCCAGTCATTTACTCAGCCAACAATCTTCCTTTACCTGGCCACCTACAAGTGTTGAAGACCAACTAGCTCTATTAACTGCTTCTGAGGTTTCTGCTCGTAATGAAATCATTCGTTTGAATGATCACTTTCATTGTTTAAAGAAAAATGTAAACAACTAGAATGCGATAACCAACAGTTGTATGATCAGTTGGCTCACTGTGAAAAAAATCTCAAATCCTCTAATTCTACAGGGAACTTACAGATTTCGGACGATTTTGTTGAATTAAGCTCTCTGGCTTATCAGATTTGTGTTTCCCTCGATCCTGAGGTTAGTGAAAAAGAATGGAATCCTGATGATTGGGAAATTGAGTTATTTACTCTACTTAAGGTGAGTTTTTTTTCTACATTTCAAAATAATCTATAAATATACAATGAAAAATGATAAGGTACTTCATATATAATTACCTACCCAGTTAGTCCTGGACAGTTTCTGTTGTAACGGGTGGACTGCAGGTTATGATAAGCAGCGTATATTATCGATCGATTACAGTGACACGTAAACACGTACGAACGACCTGGTGTTCTGATTGGCCCTGCTTCGCTGTCTAGCCCAGCCAGTTGAGTCCAGAACGCAAATCACAGCCTCTGAGATATGAATCGTTATATTTCAAACATACTCTGTTTATATACCAACCAAACAGACCACACCGTACCATAAAAATAGAAAACAACATCTGTACAATATTTAACGAGTGAAATAAATAGTGGCCAATAGGGAATGCCCATTTAGAGTCCAAGGACATCATTAGACTTAACATGATAGTGATTGGTATATTCCTCAGCATCCCTAACAGTTTCCAAGTCAATTTCTCTAATATAGGTGTTGTGTTTAGGAAAAATTCATTTTATGTTTAAGTAGTATCACTATTTGTCTAGCTTATATTTAACGTTAAGGTTTTTGTTGTGGATGCGGAAGAATAGACCAATAATTATCATGTTAAGTCCAGTGGTGTCCTTGGACTTTAAATGTACATTCCCTATTGGCTATTATTTAATTCATTCGTTACATATTGCGTAAATGTTGTTTACTATTTTTATGGTACGATGTGGTATGCTTGATTGGTATATAAACAAAGTATGTTTGAAATATAATGATTCATATCTCCGAGGCTGTGACTTTTGTTCTCCACTCAACTGGGCTAGGATAGACAGCGGGGCAGGGCCAATCAGGGCACTAGGTCGTCCCTTACGTGTTTTCCGTGTCACTGTACCGAATCGATCAATAAACGCTGCTTATCAAACCCTGCAGTCTCACAACTTAAATTCATAACAATTGGCGACGGGGTGGAGAAAAATTTTGAACCTTGTAATTGGACGAGATTCAGGTTAATTGTTTCGACCAATCAGCATCCAGATTGTCACCAGCGTCCTTGAGCAACATTGGTCATTATTCCTACAGTTAATTTTCATTGCAGGTGCTGAAAAAAAAATGACTACCTTTTCCGATCGATTACAGCTTCTACTTGAGCAACAACAGCAGTGCTTCAAAAATAGCCAGTTAAATTTTTTAGAAAATTTACGCACACTGTTGGTAAATGTTCCATGTTTCGGAGGAGCAACAGAAGTTGGTAAATTCATTTCTCATCTGCAGACTGAGCTGGAAAATAACTGCAGAACATATGAAGCTGTTTATAAAAGCCTCTGTGAATCCCGGACGACCAGTGATGTAAACGAGACAGTTATTCATGGTCCGCCCAGTTGTCCAGAAATGTCAAATTCCGAAACGTTCCCTGTCGTGGGTTCAAATCCCACTGTTCCTGAAACGTGTACAGACAGTGATGTACCCAGCTCACAGGAGGATCTCTTATTAAATGCTCATAAATTAATTGCAGTACCCGCCCACAACGGAACAGGGAACAAATCGTGCGGTACACTGAATCCAGCTGTTTCAAATGGTCCTCATCATTCAACAACAGGAGATTCTGACGAATCTTATTATCTAGATCTTTTTGTACCAGAAAATGTGTTAAATGCATTAAATGATGATCAGAAATCTAATACAATTTTGATAGATGTTGATTATCGCAGTGATCAACTGTTTACAAATGAGATTTTCAACAAATCCCGTGACAATGTTCCAGAAGAATCAAACGTTGGTGACCTCATATCAAGCGACATTGTTCCCCACTATTTAATCACTTTCAGTGACTCCCCTGTTCAATCTGACAATTATGTGTTAAATAAAGTCAAATTAATTCTAACTTGGGAATATGAGGACCCAACATTATTTCGTGGGGGAGGATGAACCCAGAAAATTTCAAAATCCGGATATCAACTCCGGATCTTCAAAAAAAAGGGGAGGTGTTGTGGATGCGGAAGAATAGACCAATAATTATCATGTTAAGTCCAGTGGTGTCCTTGGACTTTAAATGTACATTCCCTATTGGCTATTATTTAATTCATTCGTTACATATTGCGTAAATGTTGTTTACTATTTTTATGGTACGATGTGGTATGCTTGATTGGTATATAAACAAAGTATGTTTGAAATATAATGATTCATATCTCCGAGGCTGTGACTTTTGTTCTCCACTCAACTGGGCTAGGATAGACAGCGGGGCAGGGCCAATCAGGGCACTAGGTCGTCCCTTACGTGTTTTCCGTGTCACTCTCACCGAATCGATCAATAAACGCTGCTTATCAAGACCTGCAGTCACATCAGTCATAACAGTTTTTTTTACGGATTATTCAATCTAAAGTTATTTTCCTTACGAACTGATATCCTATGGAGATCCATAAAAAACCATTCAATTCTGGTCAACTGTTTTTTGGTTTAGAAATCCTTATTAGCTAACACTTATAACCCTCTACAGATTGAACCCAAGATTTTCACAATTCAGAGAGGGCCTCGAGGTAGTTTTGGCTAATTTGGAAGGAGAAACTAATAATTTACCTTTCGACCGTATCGAAAGTGAGGCATATCATCTATGTTATTTGATTATAATCATACTTGATCCGAAACTGATTGAAGTACGAAATGTGTACTGGAACTCGATAACCTACAAATATCATGCTCACCGTCATAACTGAATGTTGATTTTGTTTTGATTTCATATTATTTTACAGTTATTCATTGCTGAGCAGCTTTGGATTTAAACCATACATCTTTTTAGTTATCCCTAGTTTCCTATAGTTCTCTAACTAATCCTGGTGTTGTGATAAAAGCGCCTTATGCATTCACCTATTTTTTTTCGCACTTAACTCAGTCATTAAGTGTATGTGATATTTTAAATAGACAACAAATATGCAGTTCTTATAACCTAAATATTATAATATTTATGAAAGTGATTTAAGTTTCTTGTATAAAGAGAGAATAGGTGGATCTTCTGTTTTCATTGTAACACCATACTCTACTGATATATATATATATATATATATATATATATATATATATTCGTCGCTGAAACATTTTTTTTAGATCCTTATAAAATCATATACTTTTTTTTTTACTAAAAAACATTCATAGGATCGTCTAGATTCAGAATTAACTGAAACTGATGATCAATCTGAAAGTGTTGTCAAATTGTCTGCAGAAGTTGCAGCACTTCGTGATATTTTGGCGCAGCACACAACATTCCGAACACAAGCAGAACGAGATTTAAAACATTTACTTTTCACAATTCAAAACCAACATGATATGATTGATAAGTTGAAAATGGAGAAGCAACAGTTGGAAAGTGTCTTGCCAGGCATGGAGTCCAAACTTACACCTATTACTACTACTGTCGTTACCACTGCCTGCGCCGCTACCTCTACTGACTCTCCTGTTATTGCTACTGTTAGTACTAGTACCTCTACAACAACCGACGATGTTGTCAATGATGATACGGAACATAAATGTAAAACATCATGTATTGATACTGAAACACAAACCTCCCTAATTACTGATAACGCTATTGACGAAATGAATAAGCGCAAAGAAAATTATGAACAATATTGTAAAGAACTAATCACATATATTTGTTCTATATACAATGATCATTTGGTCAATTCATCACAAAACTGTGAAACATTTATCGTGTCACCTGACTCTTTTGAACTAACAAATATTTCAAAAGTCTTTTCTTTATTAGAAAAGTTCAGTTTTAAATTTAATGAATATAAAATTAATTTAGATAATTTTCAATCGATGTACAGTACGTTAGTGAATAGTTTACAACAGAAACATGCTGAAAGTCAATTATATCATGAGAGATTACAGCATTCTTTAAATGAATTAAATGAAGTTAGAAAACATCGAGAGGAAGCAGAAATTTTAGTGAATAGTTTACGAGAACAATTAAATGTTAAACAAGTAAATTTATTTATAAGTCCATCCACTTTTACCTTCATAAGTATAAATAGTATGTATAACGATAATTGTTTTGGAAAAAGGGATTTAATCAACTAGTTGTTTCCTCTGAAATTTTATTCAACATTTAATCAGTATCCATTCTCGATATTTGCACTATTCGAACATCAGATATTCAGGTCTTCATATATCCAATAATTTATGGATAAATCACAAAAAAACGTTTATCAATTCATAGCATAAAAATAATATGCATAGATGATTATCCTCTGTCACTCTGTATCATGTAAAATATTTCCGTTGATTTCGCCTCAACATTTCAATAATTAGAAATTTATTATTTATAGAATCAGTTTTTAATTACTATAATCGGGTACCTTATTTACGATAATATCTGCATAATGTTATTCATCACATTTATCAAAATTTATATTGTCTTTCTAAGCAGGGATGTATAGCGGCTAGCAGTGGAATTCAAGATATGCGTTTTGTCCTATTTTGTACTCGTCAGCTGGACTTCCTTGCATCCCGGAATTGTTTACTCCCAGACTCGAACCCAGTGCAATTCACCCCAAACACCAACGTGTTGTCCACTTAACCACTGAGTCTAGATAGCCTTGTGACTTTATGGCAATGTCGATCTAATCCACATAAGATGCAAATATGCCAAAAGGCATTGATCAGTTGCATTTTTAAATAACAATGAGAAAATCCAAACAACCAATATAAATGAATTATATCATCTGTGTGAAAATTATATTTGAAATAATCCAAGCGACTAAAATTCAAATAATTCCAATGCTTCATCCACAAACATGTCTGGACTTCTTCAAGGTGATAACCAGAACCATGATTATTATTCTTTGGTAAATTTGATTTTAATTATTACCCTGAAGAAGTCCAGACAGGTTTGCTGAACGAAACGTCGGAATCATTTAAATTTCAAACACTGAGGTTATTTCAAATATAATTTTCGCATATAATGACTTTCTATACTCGGCGCCCAATTTCTGTTAAACTAGTCGCTCTAATATTGACGAATATTCATATATATTATCTTTCGTTTAAAATTTATTCACGATGTACCGAACTGTTATGTTAACATCTCATATACAGCATTTAATAAACTGTGTATCATGGTGAACTACCACTATCACTGTAGTTTTCATAAAGTTAAATCTAGGCTTCAAGCTGAAACACGTTGGTACTTTTGGTGTGTGCATCATACCTTATGACGGTCTTTAATGTATTCTTATTACTAGATCTCCTAATAAAACAAAGAGGTCGAGACACTAATAGCTTTCACTTCTCAGTTTATCCAAGTAGTTCTAGTTCAATATTTACATTCCAATACAAATATACCGTTTTTAAACTTCATTCTTCCTCTTACTGTTTGATGTCATTATTATTTTATCAAGATGGAAGCTGACAATATCGTGAAACAATCTCTGTTAATGAATGAAACTATAACAGCGTCAAGTAAATTTGTAGATCAATCAAGTAAAATAAATTTTGAAGAGGAAACATCAAACGAAGAAAAATTAATAGCCGAAATCCGACGCTTACAAGCACATTTAGTTGAGGTGTGTAAAATGATCAATATATTTTAACAAGATTTGTGCACGAAGTTTGGTAACTGTATACTTTTTTTGTTCTTACTTATTGAAATCAACTTATAATTGTTATGTATACTTGGTTACTGCTTAACTAACTCATTTTTGAAAATAATAAAAATAAGTTGATTATTAAGTACATGGCTATGATCGACTTATAATCACTTCTGACTTCAACTTCATCAAAATCTCACTGCATTCCTACTCTAGTTCAAATACGCCTCAATTGTTGCTTCTTTCTTTTTGAAAGTATATTCACAGAAATTTGGTAGTCATATCCAATCTTATGGACTCAGGGAGGTTGGTTATTTCGTGTCGATTGACGAAACTGCTCGGATTCCTAAATTCCAACTTTTGTTTATTCGGAAATTTTATTTTTTCTTACTGATTGTCAATGAAGAAATTCCTCTTTACAAATCTAAAATTGTTTTCGTTTGATCATTTGAACTGCCAGCATACTTTGCTATTGTGGCCGTTTATTTTTTTAATCAGATTTACGCAAACATTAAATATTTTTAACAGTTATCTCATAGTCATGTCTCTATTGACCCATAGAAAATATATTAATTAGGAGTTTTACGTAAGTGGTTTCTGTTGATGCTAGAAACAATGGTTATCTTGCCAAATGTTTCACTTTGTCTATATCCCCTCATTATTTAAAAAAGGGAACATAAAACTTTGTTTTAACTTTCATTAAATTCACTGTCCTATTGTTTTATCCTTAAGTTCATACTAAATAACTACTTAATGCAATTACCGTCGGTAACTACTAATAACTTGTCCCCTTTTTGAAAAAATAACTATTTGTAGCTTAGGCAATTTATTTTCATTGTGTTACACCCTCAAATTTGGAATGATTTAGTTTATGTGATTTCATTTTTGTTTTACACAACTTCATTAACTACTTAAATTAGGCACTGATTTCGTCCAGAACGACTGTGAAAGCTCTGCAATTAAACTACTCATCTCAGAAAATGCAACACTATTAAAAACTTGCCAAATATTCATTTTTTACCCGTAGAGTTGTTATTAGTTAAAACAATTGATGGGTCTTGTTGAGTCATATTGGAGTGGTTTCTTATAAAGTGTGTATTACAGTTAAAATTCAAAATAGATTTTGAGTTGTAAAAAGTTGTGTTTCCTTCCATTTTTCGTACTGCAAAAAAGGTACAATTCCTAAGGTATGTACAAATTTGTTTGTAAGGTCATAGTCTACTCAGATAGGGTACCAGTGCTGTTCAAGTGCTTTGAAGAAATTATGTTTTATAGAATTTAGAACCTCGAATGCTTCAAAATTAGAGATATTATGGTTTTGCCTCAGTTTTCCACAGAAGAAAACTTTAAAGAAGCATCGCTCTTGAATGAGCTAAAAGTAACCTTGTTAATATATTCTATCACGTTTCATACTTTTATATATTTTCCACATGTATAAATCAGATGGAAGAATCTTATACCTCTGAAGCTGTTATTGCAGAAAATCGTGAGGTGGAACTTCGTTCACGTTTAAACGAAGTTGAAAAGTCCCTTGCTCAACTGAAAGATTCATGTACTTCAACAGATACGCAATTGCAGACAGCTTATTCTGAACGAGACGATGCTTTAAAACATTTGGAGGCTAGTCGACGTGAAGTTCTGGATTTAAAAGAGAGTTTAAAAACTCTACAAACAGTTTTAGATAATTTTCAGCGCAGTAAGTTAATTTCTTTCGAGTTTAACATGCATCATCTCTTTTTCTTATAATATACTGTATTTGGTCAATAATTGAATTCCTACATGAATGATAATTTACTTTACCATGCTATTTTATCAACTAATTAATGATACATGATGACCGATTTGTTTACGTGATGATTACGTAAGTTAACTGGTAAAATTTTTTTTATTAGTTTATTGTTTTTATTTACAAGTCCTGGCTACCTACTCACTTCGTTGTATACAGATAAATGGTAAAGATTACTTATACATTTATGTTTTTAAGAAAACCAAATAAGTATTTACAAATTATTCCCTTTATGACGTTTTCCTATATGTATTTTACGATATTCATACCGGTCATAAGAGATTTTCATGTTTCACCTCTATAAAATCACAAAACATATTTCTCCTTGTTCGGATTTCCCTTCCACACGTGCATATGAACTTCTGTGTTTTCCTATCTCTTTATTACTTGTATTTCAGATAAGTGATACAAAAACAACTCCGTTTGCTCCATATCATTATAGATTTCAGACAAATTACTACTTTCAGATGAGCCAACTATTATTTCTTGCTTTTATCATGCACATTACCGGAAAAGCGATTGTCTGGCACTTTAACCGGAATAAAGTTTACAGAGGATCTACCTAGTGGGATCGGAAAACCCTGTTTCTAAACCAACTGTGCACAAAAACTTCAGGATCCTGAGAGAACAAATGGCGTACAAACCTTTTTGTCGGTCACCAGCTACCATGGGGCTGCATCTCCTAACGTTGCTCCACCACCTTGTAGATTAGACCTTTAGGTCAAAGGCTCGGGTTGTGGACCTCCTACGAAAATCACTTGCTTCAATTTGGCAGCCTGGATATTATCCCAACCCCCAGACAAATCAAACGATGATTTCTACTAAAGAAATCATTTTTGCTTCAATTCTCGTTCTGACAAATCATAGTCACGATCATTTGATAATATTCGTTTTTATTTTCCTTATACTACTCCACGTGACCTTTCTTTTTTTATTATCATTTTGCGCATTTCATTTTTAAACTTATACAACAGCTCGCCCATGGCAGAATTCCTGTCTTATCTCAACGACCCCAAGTCACTGACTAGTCGAAAGTTGAGTGCTACCACCAACTACGGATAGTGAACTCTGACAGACTGCAGCCTGGATGCGACAGACGATGAGCTTTACAACCAGTTGACTGTTCTACAGAAAGTGTGTTCAACAAATATTGTAGTACTAGCCGGAGACTTGAATACTCAGGTCGGGCGTTTAGACGTAGAAGAGAGTCGTTTAGGTGGCTGATGGAGACTTGTTAGTCAGAGGTTAGATAAAGGTGACCGTTTACTAAAACTTTGCGCAGACTACAACCTGTTTCGGACCTACAATAACTACCAACACAGTCATCACCGATGTGCCACCTGGTGTCCTCCGTCTGCATCTCAAGCCCGGACTCAGATTGATCACATCGCGATCAGCTACAACTGGGGTGGTTGTGTACAAGACTACCGCTGTTTTTGGAGTATGTGGCTGGACTCGGATCATGCCTTTGTTTGCGCTAATCTTACCTTACTTTTCAGTGGCCAACGAATTCATCGTCCTAAACCGATCGATGTTAGCAAATTGGTTGCAGCTTCTGTTGCAAATAAATATCAAACCGATCTAGGTTCTAGGCTAGCTACCATCCCACCGAAAAGTATAAATGAGCATGGGTTGAATCGCGTGACGTAATGAAAATGGCGAGTAAAGTTGCATGCGGCTTCGCGAAACGTCCTGATTATAAGCGCTGGGTTTTTTCTGGCTCCTTACAAACCATTGAATGTCGTCGGTCAACTCCGGGTGACCGTGAGTTTGACCAAAAGTGAAGGCTGTTGCGTAATGCAATTGGACAAAGCTTGCGTAAGGACCGAAAAGCCTGGTGGTTGGAGCATGCTAATGAGTTAGAAGCAGTAGCTGCATCTGGTAACTACCGAAAGCTCTTCCAACTCATTCGAGCCACTGGCAGCAACGTAAGGAGATGCAGTCCCATGGTAGCCGGTGACCAACGATTGGTTCATACGCCATTTGTTCCTTCAGGGTCATGGAGCCAGCCCATGTGCACCATTGGTTTGGAATCAGGGTTTTCCAACTCCCATACATGGACTCTCCATATCCACCAACCCGGTTCAAGCGCCGGATATTCACTTTTCGTCCTCTTAATTTCGTAAACAACAGTAATGCTACGAAAAGGCAGTGAGTAGGACTTCCCTGGCAGAGGCTATATACGCGTGACCATGTGGGAGTATTTCGAGAGGGAGAGCTGACTCTGCTCACTCTCGGCCGTACCAGGGCATTGTTGACATCCAGTAGCAACACCATGTTAGTAATGCGGAGGTTCGGCATCGTGTGTTCGGGCGCAGAGACGATAATTCAACTGGTGTCACGATCTTGAAACATCGACTTCGGTGGCTTGGATATCTTAAGAATGTCGTCCCAGAGAACTTCACGTCGTGTATTATTTGCTGACGCTCTGACCAGATGGAAAAAGCGGAGAGGTAGTTAATGTATGACGTGGTATGAAAGAAAGTTGTAGAGGACTGGCATGTATTGATACTTCACAACTCCTTGGTTGGCGTCCTAGACATGGTGCAACTCAGTGGCTTAAGAGGTTATCAGACATAGTTCAGGATAGAGGTTAGTGGCGATCCTGTTGTAGTTTTATTTTGCTCTTCCCGTAAAGTGAACTCAACTTGTTTGAGTGAAAGAAATTTTTCTGGTTGTATCTTTTTAAGTAAATTGTTACTCCTATTATTATTATTATTATTATTATTATTATTATTATTATTATTTCACTCTCATACACTAATTTCTGTTCGTTGCTGTGCTTTTTATTATACGCACTTTACATTCTCTATCTCTTCACAACCTTATTGTTATTCTGTGGCGCACATATATTTAGTGCCCCCTTGTACCAACGCTTATGTGTTCAAATTAATAAATCGCCCAAACAAATACTAAATTATAATTCATCCCGGTTGCATTAACCAGCGGCTATCTAGAATCAGTAGGTTAGTGGATAATGCGTTGTCGTTTGAAGCGAAAGGCATTTGGTGTAAGTCTCGATGTAAATATCAATACTGCAACAAAGGTACATCCATTTGACGAGTCCCGAACAGGACAAGACGCTCGTCCTGGGTTCCAATTCTACCACCCTATTCATCCCTGACTAAAAATATTTCAGCATCTAATTACATGATTGTTGTGGCTGTAAGTCCGGCTAGTTATCACGTAATTTATTCCCCAATCGAAATACGACTTATTCACTCTTGTACTGTACTAAAACAATGACGTTCGACCGGTCTGATAAGTCCAATGTCCTCATTGGTTCTTTGCTCGCCTAGCCCGTACAGTTGGGCCCATAACACCAATGACAGCTTCCACTATGCGAATAATTTATTTCAGACATACTTGGTTTATATACCAGCCAAACAGACCGCATCGCACCATAAAATAGGGAGTAACATTTATACAAAATAAAGTCAAAAGTGGCTGTGAACGTGGGAGAACAGTAAATCGTACAATAATAATCTGTAGGTCAAAATCAAGCTTATAATAAGAGGAATATAGATATACACAGTCTAGTTATTGAATAGTTATACAATAACAATGTATGTAAGATATTAGTCCATTAATAGTTCTCGGAAGTTACTCGTAATTTAATCTTCACTAGGATATAACAATGTTTGTAATCCTACAATATTCGATTTTATTTAAGCATATTGAGTCGTAGCATCAATGGCACTTTTGTCAAAGTTGCATGACTCAAATCTTTGAATACATGAACCTTTACATAATTATTTTTATTTACGATGACTTTTATGATGTATCTTATCTAATATCTTTTTCTTTTGTTCACTATACCTTTTCTCATTTTATAATAATAGATCAGGAAGCTACTCTTTTAGCTGAAACGGAACATCTTCGAGCTGAACTTAATCGAACTATTCAAAAAGAAATGGCTACAAAACAAGAGATGGAACAATTAAATAAATCAATTATCAAATATCAAGAATTAGCCAATGAATTAAATCAAATGAAAAATGTTAATCAACAATTACGTGAACAAATCCTTCGACTTGAAACAAAAGGTTAACAGTGATATTAAATTGCTTTATTTAAATATGTGTATTATGATCGAAATTACATTTCATTTTCTTGAAAAATTTTATTACTCTAGTTTAACTGTTCCAACATAAAAATGGATAAGTTTGTCTTATCCTATGAATCTAATGTTCTGTAATTTTACTCAATAAATCCGCAAAATTTAATTTTGTTCCACGGTATTTTTATACTTAGAATGTAAAAAGCTCTCTAAAGAATATTTCAGTGAAAATCATTTGTTGTTGATCCGTTAAAAACTTAGTCATTTTCATCGTCTATTGATTGATAACATTAACCTAATAGTGTATACACATATTCACCTTATATCATTAATAGGTTTTGCACTCAAGATTGACAATTTATTATTAAAAATGTAAACATGCACATACCCGAATGATCTTCCAGAGAATCTATTCGTACTTAAATCAGATATCAGAACATGTAGAAGATATTTCCAGGAGTGATTCCACTTCGTTTTTGTTAGAACATGGTGTTGTTTATCCATTTTACCTGTATATAAGTAGAGTGGCTGTTTGAAGATGACAACAATGAAACATGTCATAATCCGCTACTTAAATTCGGAATAAATAAATGAATTTTAAAAGCTTCATTCTGTCTAGTTCATTAATCTTATGAAAATAATAGTTCTCATTAGTAATGAACATTGCATACATTATTATAATGCAGTCGTTATTGTTTATTAACATCCATTTAACACTTAAACTCAAACCACTCTAAAGAAGATCATCCAGTAAATTCATGGGCACTGATGCATTTTTTGAAAAGTGAGTCCAATAGTAAAGGAAGTACTTAAGGTTTTTTTTAGTTGATGTTTATTTATCCCTTACTTTTCAGTCAAACAATAATAAAATGATTAAGAAACTAGTGATGGTAAACCAAGGTTTATTATAAGGAATATGAATTCCTGACCAGTAGTGATATTTTGCAGTACAAACTTAGGATCTATTGCGATAACATAAAAGTAATGGGACTTTGTTATGTATTCGATATCAGAACATGAAACGGCTTCATTATTTAGCATAGACTGATAATCTCTAATATATAAAATAATACTGTACAAAAATGTCTCACTATTTGAAGCCCTACTCTAAATTGTTTTTTTTAAATTCTTTTAGTTAAAAATCGTGATACGGAAAATAATGGACTTCGTGATCGTCTTGCTAAAATGGCTGTAGATACAGATGCACGAATTGATAAGTACGATATGAACTTTTTCTGTTTTGGTTTCTTTACTATGAATTATGTGTTACTTTGTGAAATCGTATGTGTTGATTATTTGTCCACATTTCAATTTGATAGATTTTTCAAAAGACATAATTTATTATGTTCAAAATATTCATGATCTTTTACATATACATATATTATGCAACAGGATTTTAGTCTCAGTATGCGAATTTACTTTAACAGTGTAATTGATAGATGAAATGTATTGTATTGAGATAATATTATCTATGATCAGTCAATGAGTAAAAACAGATACAATTGAATCTATTATATATAATTTAGCAATTAAGACCATAATTAAATTATCCCATTATTTTACTCGTCATTGATATCTGGTCCTTAAGAAAACAGTTGGTTAATTGTATTTTAGTCTATAGCCATAATATAACATAATGCTTCCTGATAGATTACATACAATGTTGTTGGCTGAATTCTTTATATAATTGTTTTGATGTACGTGTTCGCTTTATGTTACTACAACAAATGATTATATTTGAAGCTCAATTATAGGTCGCATATACCAGATACCAAAGTTATATAAATTACTCCTTTATAATATATATATATATATATATATATATGGCACAACAATAAAAATCCTTTAAAATATTCTTCATTACCTCTTTTAGAGTACTAATTAAGAATTTGCTACTTAGCTACTTGCAGTTACCTGCAAATCAACGTAGTAGTGCTATTCGAGTTATCGGAAGTTTGTTGGAATTTTCAGATGAGGATTACTTGAAAGTTAGTTTCTGCATACTTCCTTTAATTTGTATGATATTTTTTCCCTTCCAATATTCAACATGTAGCTTTTCTGACTATAATAATGATGATAAGAACATTGTAAATATGTTTGTACACAATGACTTTATATCCAATCATTTATTTCTGGTGCATCATATATAGGTCTTCCAGACAGTATATGACTTTTCGTGCTAGATTAACTGGAGACTGATGACAACCATCTACTTCAAAGCACCTGATACTGGATGTTGGAAGAAATTGAGTGCACTCAGACCAATATTTATGACCAGTCTGTAAAGTTAGTAACTGTTGAACTGAGCTGTAGGGCCATACCAAATACTTAGAGTTAGTATGATTATCGTAAATAATGGCCGGTGATATCGGATGAATTGTTTCAAAATCCACCACATGTTTTTAGTTTAACGGACCAGCAACTATTATTACTTGTTATTTAATTTCATCTATGTTTCTTGTTTTTTTAACAACAGCAATATTTTGAGTTGTAGTCATACTGTACCTTTAATAATTTTGAATTAGTATTAAAACTGTTGTAGTTTAAATTGTACGCTTAACGCTTGATAATGTATATCCTATGTCACCTTACTTCTTTGCATAGATTGGCAATGAATCTGGCACATTACCTAAACTAATGAAATGGGTTCGAACTACTGTATCTAATTTACCTAGTGGACCCCCAAAAGATGTTCTACTTTCATCGAATAATAACGATAAGGTTAGTTATGACTTAATTTAATAATTTTTGCAATTGCACACAATAAAAATGTCTTATTACGTCCTATTTATTTCACTAAATTTTCATTCATTATCTAGAATATATATGTATACGTAATTATGATGTTATCACTCTATGTTATCTTTATGTATTTTAAGAAATTCTCTGTTATAACATGTGGCCTGTGTGCCCTGCTAATGTATACGTAACGACACCGCCGACTAGAGAACAGTGATTTATCGACCGAACCAATGACGCATAAAACCCGTGCGAGAAGTCTAGAGTCCTTATCAGTTTTGCTTCCTGTCTAGCCCAGCCAGTTACGTCCAGAACACCAATCTCAGCCTCTGCGATAAAAATCATTTATTTCAAGCATACTGGGTTTATATACCAACCAGATAGACCACATCGTACTGTAAAATGGAAAATAACATTTGTACAAGATTTAGCCAAATGTGGCTGTGAATGTGGGAGGTAGTAATTAATAGACAGAGCATAATTCAAGAATGGTAGATCGGAGAATAATAGTTCATAGGTCAGAATAAAGCTCATAATAAGAGGGATATGAATATGTATAGTTTAGTTATTTAATAATTATACGACACAAATATAAGCATAGTATTGGTTCATAATGGATCCCAAAAGTTACCATTCATTGTGCTTATCATGACATAATATTCTCTATGTTTCAATGTTACATCACCAAGTACTTTCTTAAAAAGTGAGACTTCCTGTCAACTACTACAAAGTTGCTGTAGAATAATTAAATTTTCAGTAAAACTGTGTGTACATTCGTTTCACTTCTCAGAACTTCACCACACAACACAGTAACTGATTATGTCGACTCAACACCAACCACTGCTGAATTGTTAAATAAATAATTTAGGAAATTCTAATACTTTCTATTTTGCTAACTGTACGTTTCTCCAAAGGTGTAAAAATGCACTGTACTCAGTTGTAATCATAAAAGAGCTAATAGTTACTATTTTAATGTTTGTTTAAATTTGATAGAAATTTCATTAAGTAGTTATGTATAGCTGTCATAGTAGGATATTTTTGTGATAATTACTCATAAGTATCAGAAGGGGTTTTGTGGAGATTGTATTAATTTAAACAGTTGAGATCGTGAGTCAATTGAAGCTAGACCACCATGGAAAACCTGGAAGCATTGGACGGCCGTTTCGTCATAGTGTGGGACTCCTCAGCATTGCGCATCCACGACTCATAAAACAATATTTTAGATCATTTTTTCTTACAAGGAAAATTTATGTTAAAAATCTTTTTAAAACTGATGCTATTAACTTATTATTATTATTCAGTTGGAAGTAATAAATTACCATGTACATATAAAGTGACATGAATAGAAAACCTGATTTCATTACCAAATAGTCAATCCGTGAAGTATGAACTAAAAAGAAAACTTCCTGATAGTATTAGACATTTGAATGTTTTTTTCCTCAAGTTTAATTGAGTTAGGTATTAATTAATATAGCTAAACGTAAATTTTACGAATTTCCTTCTGTTAAACATACTTACGGGCGTTCATTTTATTCATTCTGTCTGTGTTTTAAACCGTCATTCATGGTATATTGCTTTTTCTCACATTATTTTCATATTTCCTCTGCTAAATAAAACATTATATATATATATATATATATATATATATATATATATATATATATATAAAAAATCAGATGACTAGTTTATAATGTAGTTCTGAAGACATGTGTGGTAGTGGATTAGAGAAGAAGTCATTTGAAATTCGTGATTTCAACTACTTTTTTTGCATTTATATTTGTATATGAAGTCTTCAATGGGTTTTTTTACTCGACAGTTCCTTAATATTTTTAATTGGCCAATCAGTTCTCTTTTTTTAAAGAAGAAAGCTTGTAAATAAACAATGTGTGGGTAGATAGATTCATTAAATTTTCCAGTTATAGTCTTCTTCTATAAATTACCCTTGTATCACAGTGGGTGCTAATCATAATCTGATATTCATTTATACATCTCTATATGATTAGTGGTACGTATTTTCATTAAATTCAATTTATATTCTCACTAACGAAAAAAAGGTCTAATATAATTAGTCAGAAAGTAGAAAGATTGATTAAAAATACTTTCAAGACATTATCAACTAAAATTAAAACACGAATTTCAGCGAAGGGATCTCTTTTCAACGAATTTACTATCAAGCTGTACAATCGTATATGATTCGTTCAAATCTACCCAAATTTCTTCGTATCCAACTTTTAAAAATAGCCGATGCTCTTACCATCCAGGAGCTTAAACCAGAACTATGCGTACAAAAGAAGTACGTCTTATCGTTATCGTTACCTTGGCCTTAATTATTTTGATTATCCTACTATTATTATTATTATTGCTGCATTCCCCCTTTACTTATGTCTTAATATCCTCATTGTTATATTCATGAACGCTCATCATATCACTTTATTTTTTACACCTCTATGACCTTTAATTATTATATCAAAAACACTTTAATCATCTTATTATATTCACCAAATCCATCGTTATTATTCATATTACGTAATCTAGTATTATAACCCTTTTTATTAACTGTGTTCACATTTCCTCACGGAATTAGTACTTTTACAAAAGCAAAATTTTCATATATATACGATTGTACAGCTTGATAATAAATTCGTTGGAAAGAGATCCCTTCGCTGAAATTCGTGTTTTAATTTTAATGTTTAAATGGGAATTATCTGTCAATTATCAACTAAGGTTATAATCAAAGGTGTAATGTCACCATATTCGGCAACTAGTTGATGTAAAGTGGATGGTGTCGATATTTTACGTAAGTTACACGCGAATGCCACTTTTTAAAATGACAATCAACATCATCAGTATTTCGATGCTTTAAACTCAGACATTTCACAATTAGCTTATTATCTTGTATTTTCTCAAATATATGTATCTTACGGACATAGCTTATTCATGAAATCCTGCTAACATGTATTATAAATTAACATCTCTTATCATGTCTAGACTATTTTTGAGTTATTTTTTAAGGTTATCTCCTACTGTATTTCAGTATCGAGATATTGATTTTGAGTTCATTATTATTGTAACTGCCTCAAGTGTTAGGATATAACACAACAGTCAGGCACGATGGGTTCAAATATGAACACAATATTAAAAGTGCTCAACTTTCTGTTTAAATCATTTTAAAACTGATAATTTTTAACTTTCTGATCATTCAGGTTAGTTTATGAGAGAACCTCGTGAGCATCTTACTGGGGCAGAGTGATTGACTAAATTGCCCACAACGATACATAAATGATGAGTTTCGCTGCGACTTCAATAAGCAGGATGAAACACCAGCATTATAGTAAATGTGGAAAGGTCCGAAAATGAGTATTTGACAATTATGACCCACTTTACACCATATTTATAGTTTTCACAGTGTAGGCGACTCACAAAAAAGAAAGGATTCTATTATACTATATTCTGTTGATGAAACATATTCACTGAGAGTCATATTCTTTAGCTAAATCTTTTACAACTACCGTTTCAATCGTACTAGGGTGACGTAGCTTTTTTACAACCTCCTTACAGTTTGCACCCAGGTTTAGTATGGATGTTACCTTATTCATTTTGTTTTGTACTGGTTTCTTGGTTTCAAATGACTGTTTTTGGTTCGCCTTTGAGTACTTTTTAATACATATGACTTCCAACCGTTTCCATTATCATAGCATCTGTTGTTCACTTGACAACTACTGACTGTAAGTGTAGGTTGTGCTGGGGTATATATACTAAGAATGTAGGTCGTCTGTAGACTGAACTACTATATTTAGATTACACATGGCCTCAGTTCTTATAGGCCTCCTAATAACAGAAGGAATTATGTAGAACGACCTGTCGAAAACCCAGTTACATGATTACTCTAGTAATGAGTCAGTATTTTTAAGTTTCTCCAAATTCGAATTAATTACTCAATCTTTACCTACATAAGTGTAGTTTGTCCCGGTAGGAAGTATTTTTCCGTCGTATGGGAATGATTTCATTATTTAAGGCATAATAGCTTAACACGATTGTGTTTCACCTACCTTATCTACTCAGCAAGATTTTTCTACGATAAAAACTAAATAAAATTATTGACATCTTATCGGTGTAATATCCTAATTTTCCCTTATATTACATTATCAATGTTACTATTGTTTATCGAAGACTCAATAAAGACCATGATGACATTTTTCTGTTCACTTAGACTTTCACAGAATTGTTACTGGCCTTTCTAGAAGAAGAATCATCTCCTCGATCAACAATTAAGCTGCCTATGGATTATTATACACCTGATATGGTCAGTTCAACTAATAATTCCAGAAAGCAGGTGAATACAAGTGGTACGGAAGATGAGAGGTATCCTGTTAGCAAAATTATAACAGGTTCTACTTCACTATCTAATCCTCCTAAATCCGATAATGATTCAAACTTATTAGATCATAAACCGGTTTTCTATATGCTTTAACAATGATTACATATTTCTCACTTATTTCCTTTGAATTTTTTTCCGTGAGCTGTGATTGTAAAATTTCCATTTTCTTCTACCAGAATTTTCATCTGATTTCAAACTTTTTTATTTGTTTACCTTTCACACAATGGTTCGATGCACTGCCATTCCGGGTAAATTTCAATAATATATTCATTTTGTTGTTATGCATTGTGACAACGTAATTCTATATAAAATAAGTATCACGGTTGTAAATCACTTCTTCAATTAAGTATTAGTTGACTATGGTAATAATAAATTATTAGACGATTATTATTTAGTATCAGAAGGGGTTTGTGGAGATTTTAGAAATTTCACAGATTGAAATCATGAGTTAGTTGAAGCTAGACCAGGTTTTCCATAATAGTCTAGCTTCAACTGACTCATGATTTCAATCTGTGAGATTATTATTTAGGCCAATCACGATCTACCTTTGACAGGAGTTTGTTAGTTCTAACCTCGAATATCATTGTAGTGATATCGCGTATCATCATTTACTACAACATCAGTTGAATTTCCGTGGCATAGTTATGTAAGTGAATGCGAACGATGACCTTTATGTAACCTAAAAACAACTAACTTCGACGTACCCAAGGCCAAGTTACAAAACCATTTAACCATCCAAGAAACCTAAATAAACGACGTTCTTAGTTAGGAATAAATCATAACTACTGTTAAGGTTCGCTAAACATAATTAAAATTAACACCTGACAACTATTCTGTTCTATTAATGTCAAACAAATCTGTTTTTAGAGTTGAACCCATTTAACGGACTAGGTCTTGATTACGTTTCATAGCTGAATTCTTCAAATAATCGAATTTTATGTTAAAACGCGCACTAATTCGAGTTTATCTTACCTCAAATTTTCTTTCCGTGTGTGAACTATTTTCTGGTAGGATAGGGCTTTCTATCACTTATAAGTGCGATATGTTACTTTTAATCTACTCGCTTGATTCGTCCGTTAACAAAGCTCGGTTGATTCATTTCTGTGTGGTCTGTACTGTTATTATAGATTCCAATTTGATGGATAAGGTAATGGTGGTCTTAGAATCAACGAACATTTTATGCAACACTAGTTTGATCTGAGTACATCTACTCATTAATTAACAGCGCTTTAATAAATGTCCTGATACGCAACTTGCTATATATGCAGACTTATTTAAACAACCAGTCGAAAATGTTTTGAAATGACAACAAGGGACTTTATGACCGATTCGCAAAGAAATATTAAGACTGAATCAATATGATATGGTATCACAGAGATCTGGGGAATTAACATTCAATAGCTTTTTGGCCGATGACATGCTGCCTCGCCCATCAATTTGGATATTTAGTGATTGTGTGTCCAATATGTTTACTATTTTCTGGAAGATTCTGAGAGTTGTGTGTTTTTGATTGTAACTGCCTGCCAAGCAATGTAGAAATATTTAAGATAACAATTGGACATGTAAGTTTGAAATTTAGATTCATCGATCTTACCCGAATAAATTTAATCCCAAACTGATTACAGTCATGCAAATGTTAGCTTACTGTTATTAATTTAACTCACAAAATACTACCCACATTGTTACTGTGAGGTTAGAATATAATAATTATTTTGTCGATGTTACTTAGTCTTGTAAAGTCAATCCATTTTCCACAGGTTGATTTTCACTACACTTTTCTTCACGTAAAATTAACTGTAAACAGTTTATTATGAATTAAAACCACCTCAAGGAATACTAGAAACCATAATTATAAAATCTTTTCTGATTATATAATCCTACACGTTATACTGTTTATGGTACCTAAATTACCGGTTGAAAAATACAGATAGTTGGATCAGAATCTAATGTTACTGATGTCCTTCCTGTAAAATCAAGAAATTCTTGGTGTGATTTCATATTTTCGAGAACATGATCTACTTAGAAGTCTCATACTGAAAAGAACTAGTCGGTACTGCTCTGTATGAGAAGTTTGAAGACGATTTCCCTCATCTTCTTTGCTCAACAACCGTTGAAATGACATGGGACGACAGTCGTTCTTTCAAATATCTGAGTAATCTCTATGAGAATAAAAAGGTATTGGTTTGTTTGAATGTTATTGAAAAGATAACAAAGTACAGTCATTCCTCACCACTGGATGAATCACTAGAGGAATTAGATGACATTTCTGTACACTCTGTGTCTGTGTGTTTCCGATGTGCACGTTTGGAATGTGGTCGAGATGTTTTACTGTTCGGCATAAAACCGGGATGTGTATCACTATGTGGATACTGCATATGTTGCGATCCAGAGGAATTCGGAGATGAAGGAAATGCTTGTCGATTTCCAGAATTAGATGGTCGAGGTAAAACACCACTTGGCCGGAAAGATGTGGCCTGACTTGTTTGCATTTGTCCGCTTCCTGGCTTAAGAGGAGGTGGAGGCAATGTGGTGTTACGAGAATGTTGATCCATTATATTTGTACCAGTAAGCATAGCGGCTAGTGAAGTCGACGGCGGTCGAGAAGCTGATATTTGAGAACCAGCTAATTCCGAACCGGTAGGATTTCCTGTGATGAGGTTCATATTTGGTCCAGTCCATGTAGACGAGCCACCAGACTGTGAAAAGGACATTGGTGAGGAAACCATGTTAACTCCTGGTAGAATCATATTCGGAGAGCAAGTGACTAGAATTTTATAAGATAAACAAAGTAATTTGCACCTTAACAATTATATACAAAAATAAGTGTACGCTAAAATAAAGGCAAGAATAATAATTCATAATTATTCTACACGACTGTGCCAAAATATTTCTACAATTTTGAGTTTTATTCGGATTAACTAAAACAATGCATGCACTAATTAGCACATGGAAAAATCTGTGAGAAAAATATTAAAACAAAACGGTTCCTTGCAAAACTTAAAATACAGTCGACAAAATTTATTTCACGACTATCGGATGTAGATCAAACAGCAACACGATAGCTATTTTTCCGAAATCCATAGTTTACGCATGTGATTAATATGAAAAGAATCGGCTCCTCATCCATCGTCTAATACAGTGAACTGTGCTGGTCAGCACAGGAATAAGTCGAAAGAAGCTAGGTGCAGTCAAACCAAAACATGACATCATACTATGAAGTCATTGCTTCTTCAACTAAACTATAACGAGAGCTACAAACTATCTGGTTGGGGTTCTCGGGATAATCGTGAACTCTGATTGGAGACCTTTGTTTCCATGATTCAACACTGGTCTCAGTAACCCAGATTTATACATGTCTGATTTCATCCAAAATATTGAGTAAGCATTACTGCAAGTGTTTTTTCCCAAAATTTCTTTCATGACTAGTTTTCACCACCACTGATATCAATATTACTACGATGATTTACGGACAATCGAGTTCGTTCCAAAGTGCGGAAACCTGGGTCAGTGTACATTTTTGACGGGTCTTATATTGGTTATAATTAAAAATAAACTGGTCTATCACATAAAACAATACATTACATAATAATTTTGTTTCTGACATAACTTGTTTCTTAAACACCCCTACTTGGGACCTCATCTAAATTTAAAATACATACGGCTGTAGGTAAATGAAAACTACCTTCCAAGGTTGATACTAGACTTCAAAATACATTAAACAAGAAACCCAGAGGCCTTTCCGGTGCTCTTCTTTGGAAAAACAACTGGAGACATGGAATGGTTACTATCCTATTTTGCTAAGCACAAAACATCTACTGTAAAACTCCTTCCCAGAATTTTCATATAGTTTTCTACGTAACTAGATATTAGACGAGAGCAAAACGGCTGTGGTATTGTTAGGCAACACCACAAGCGAGATTTTGATAAAGTTGGATTCTTATACTTACTGAGCCTTAAATAAACGTTTGACAGCACATGTCAACGAATCAAACTTTTTCATCTTAGGTAGCGTATGATCTTTTTTATTTCTAAACGTCTTCGGTTGAAAATATTCGGTGGTATCGGTACATATTTAACTTTATGTATAGGGCTGAAATAACTACTAGTTTAAAGTACTTGAAAATATAGATTGATTATTGGTGTTCATTTTTACTACTCCATTACATATCTCATGTGAGCTTCAGTTGGTCAGTCATAACGTAATATCTGAGAAAAATGTCTATTAGGAAAAGCTGCCAGATTTCACATTATCACAGTGGAAGATACCCTAGGAAAACCGAAATCGTTTTAGTCTTATATATATTACGACATGGGATCACTAACAATGGCTTGTGCGCATCTATATTTAAACATAATGATACCTCAATACGCTATATATTTCCGTGTTCAAGGTCAAGCACTTTTGACACAACCTAGACCGAAACTTTATTGTAAGTTCCAAGAGGATTTCACATTAGTTATGATGTGAAAGCCGTGAGATAATGCTTTCAGTATCATAGTATGGTTACTGAATCACTTCCTTTAGTATGACTGAAGATGGCTGGTTACCTCCAAATGTCTGTATAGTGGACAATTTTGTTAAATTCACACATCAACGCACTATATAAGACTTACTACTGTGACGAAGTGTATCCTGAAAAATCATTTTGTATTTCTAGGGGGTTTATAAAACCTCTTATAATAAAAGTAATAGGAACCAGATAGTAAATAGAAAGATCAGACTGTTCATTCGCAACTATTAAATCTTAGCTTCCAATACAGACTGAACTTTTTCATGGTCGCTAATATGGTTTGTCAACTACTGAAGTATAGGAAGGTCTGTCACACTTATAGCTTAAGTTTAAATGACGTTGATAATCTCAGGGGATGATAAGACACCTTAACGTGACAAATTTTGGTCTGACATTCAAAAATAACAACAGTAAGTGAATATTACCTAGCGATAAACTTGTGGGTTGCGTTTGGTTACTGTGATATACAGGAGTCTGAGACGCCACTATATTCGTGTTGCCCAAACTATTTGGACCAGAACTACTAGAGACTGATGGGGTAGACGAACCAACTATTGAAGCTGCGGCAGCAGCAGTATCCAACAAAGCATCCCAAAGTGACTGTCGAAAATTTCCAGCATCATCAATATGACCCAAGTATCCACGCCGAATCTCTTCTTTATTTGGGTATGGTCTTCTAGGGTCTCCTTGAGTCCAGTTGTCTGGGGCTATTACGCCATGAGTAGCGCTAATCCTGTGGGAAAATCTAACGAGCTCTTCCATATCAATCGGATTTTTAACAGCAGTAGTCATTGAGTCCAACTTCTGCCTGGAATAGTATAAAGCAGTGCTCTACTAAATATGCACAAGTAAAGAATAGAAGACTAACCAAAATAACTTCAGTCTTTTTCAAATGAAGCTGACATGACTGGATCTGCTTGTCGGATTTCGAACAATCCGCCTTAAGGAGATCGATCTTTTTCTGTATTTCGTTGTAAACTTCGACTAAACGATGGAATTAGTACCGCATGCTACAAAATTTAATGATATACTTTCTTTGTAAGTTTCCTTAAGCTGTTGATCTTTTTCCAACAATAATTCTATGAGAGGAAGCAGTGTAACAGAAGATTTCTTTTTGGAGGCTGCAGAAAGTATATCCCTAATAGAACAAAAGAAACTTCAGATATGTTATGTATAGCATACCTTAAAATTGAATCAGCATCTTCTAACTGACCTATCAGTTTTTGTTTTAAAGACACTCTGCTAGACATGTGACGTTTAGTCTTTGGTTAATAGATCTGCTATCGTTAAGAAAATGAACAAAAGCCCACGAACGCTTGACGGTGACCGTCGTTACCGACAATCACTCAACGCGAGAATCTAAGTAGAAAAATAACAAGAATACGAACAGATAACTTGGTGATTTTATCGAAATATTTTATACATAGTAACGAGTGAAGCTAACAACAGTTAAGAGCAACCAAGAGCGAAACTACAATTCCGTATTCAATATTGCGGATGCAATGTTAATATTTCCAGGTGACTTAATTTTATAAGTTGATATTCAACAACATGGTTGAAGCTAGCACCAGATATAGTCTTTAGATGCGAACAAATAATTTGGAATACTATTTAGCCGATAAAAACAGTATAAGCACTCGATCAGAGAAACAAGTCCTAAAAATTGAGTCTTCACCAACTTAATCTTGAAAGCTCGCACAACCGTCTATTTTAGTTTTAAGAGTGAAAAGCATTACTTACATACTCAGTGAACGGAAAAAAGCCTAAAGTAACGCAATAGTTCTATAATGCGCTAGTAGTTTTCAATAATTATTGATACAGGTCCAGATAAATCAAACGGTAGTGGATGGTATAGAATAAAATTCCTCTTAACAGCTATTGTGTCACGTAGTAAGGGATCGCCAACACCTCCAGTCAAGAGTTAACATAATAAGTGCTATCCTTCAGATTTCCGCTTACTATTTATCATCCATTACTGAGAGATTTTCGTATCCGAACTACTGTAAATGGTACAGAAGTTACGTATGTTGATGAATCAATAAGATTTCCGAGAGAAACTAGTTTCTGCTCGCTCGTCTGTACCAGATCGTTCTGAAAACTCCGAAAATCCATATTTCAATGTTTGTGACTCATGCTGAAAAGGATCATCAACCACAATTATATTTCCTTTTTATCAAAAATCATTCCATCATTTTCTCGTTAGCTGAGAGTATCTCAAGGTCCTCCATATACTTCCCTTACACCTTGAACAAATTTTCTTTCATCATTTTATCAGTTCCAGAATATTTGTTTACTTCTGTGAATCCACTCATGACTGAAATGGAATGTAGGGCTTTTAGTAAGAAAAGTTTTACGTTCAATTTCGAATAAAATTGACCAAACTTTATTAAATGAACTAATAGGATGATGAGCACGAATATCAAATACTGGCTTGATACTAGTTTTTACCATTATTGGTGTCCAGTTCCTAGTAACTGACTCTCCTCACTCATTATTTATATGGGATATCATCGAGGTATGACAGAAAATCTTCGAAGCATCAAGGTTATTTAAACGATCCGTGAATTCGACGCTGCTGAGAGTAATGTAGTATGTCATGTATCCTCGATCATCAATCTTCTGTTGGTAGACTTCAACATTTCTAGTTCTTACTCCATAGTCTACAGCTCCAAGCCTTCTAATGAAGTCAGGGACTCTATATAATCAAGCCTGCTTAATAATATATCGCAGTGTACTTGGTGGTGGACAGATGAGCGGATGCTTTTATAATCAAGCGATAGGATTTACAAACCCAGCATACTTATGTCAATTTTAATATAATGACGACGCTTGAAGGATCATTTTTGCTCGTTTTATGTGAATATGTATGAAAAGCCGAACAAGTACATACCCCTGTAATGAAGCTTGTTGCTGTAATTGTAAAATTATTTTCCTAGTCCGTTTAAATTTTTATCCTGTCGATCATCTGATCGTGGATGAGATATTCAACACAATTTTTTATTGTAGATTTTGTTATTCCTATGTAGTGGCACCTATGACCATTTATCAACTACTTCAATACAGATTTAATTCACACTTTGGATGTGATGGCTGTCATATTGATTCTTTCCCTCTTTGATTTCAAAACGTTGGGTAGATTTGCGTCTAGTTTCATAATATTTTTTGTGCCGGTGGAGTGTTAGGAACAGTGAATGAAATTATCTGGAAGGGAACACAACAAGAGAAATAGTGAGCCGTCGACTCGTTAATCACATAAAATAAATTTACATTTAATAATGAAAGCAATTGACACCAATCAGAAAAAACTGAAGCTTGAGATTGAGTCAATCCGATAACTGGAACAAGAAACTGATGGTGTAAGATTTCGTACGTATTACAATTTTGTTGCTTGAGCTGGCCGGAATTTTGAATAATTTTAAATGCGAATTGAAACACACTTTTGGAACTGGGAACACTCATTATCGTAACAAATTACTTTGTTTACGACTCTTGATACTTTTGTTAATAGTACTGCTACTGAGTTACGTATTACCTTCCAGGTGAACTGTACATGATATGACCGGAAAAGAGAATAACATTCCTGCACTGATGTAAACGTTTATTTTTGGAACCGGTTATAATCTTACGTCATTTGTCAGTTTTTCTTGTAAATGTAATTTAGATATTATTGTTCAAGTTTATATGATAATTCTTATTTGAATAATTGGGTAGTAAAGTTTTTTTAGATAATAATGTATTGTAGGGCCAGTGAAATGTCACTGATCATCGCTATCTGCCAAGGTCATGTACAACCAACGCGGATTAGTTAATCGTATGCCATGGACTGGCTCATGCGGCAGTGGTCTTACTTTCGCTTGTATCTACCTTAACTAATATATTTCTGTAACAACGTCCTTTGTGCTGTACAGTCTTCAAAGCATCTATAGCACCTTGATACGTCAATGGGGGTAGTACACGTAAGGTGCTGACCACGAGGTGTGACTTCGACGTTAGTTGATTCGTCATACCATTCAGGTCTAACTCGAGTGGGTCTCCAATCATTTTCGACATAGATCATTTACGTTGGTGATCTACAGTACATTTAACTTCATTTTTTTACTACGAACCATCACTTAACTTACCACCTTGTATCGAGTTTCGACTTTCCAAGATCGTGCGTGTCTGAACAAACTTCCACAGCTATAACTAATCCTAAATCTCCTTAGTTTAGAATTAAAAATTCAATTTTACCGTTCCATGACTTAGTCATCAGTTGAAGTTATTTCATTCATATGCTACCTTAGGGTTGTCATAAAGAATGTTAGATCAGACCTTCAAAAATATCTTGATCGAGTGAACACGGGTTTATTGATGAAAAGACCTGACAAAATTTACTTGAGTGATGATCCTCCAATCTATAAGTTGTTTTTACTTCTGTCAGAAACAATCCAAGCCATCTCGGTCTGTCTATTGGCTAAAGACTAACATCCACAAGATCATTGGATGCGGGCTAAGATATTCTAATGACAGACTCATCTTATTCTTTGAGAAATTTCATACACATAGTTCCCTTTATCATTTTGAAAAGAGCAAGAACAAAGATTTTAGCAGAATAGCATGAATTCATTTTATTTCGTCGGTTCTCGTCAACTGCTTACAACCTGTGATATTTAAAAATCATAATTACATAATGGGTTTAAATTGCTAACTGAATATTGTAAATATATACCTAATGTGAAAGAATATTCTACAACATTAATTGTGACAACAGTTCAAAAGTGGGTTTATTATTTTTTTCTTTTGCATTTATTACATCATTTACTCTGTTTTATTTTTTCAACTATCTTTCAAATTAATAATCTTTCAACTGAACTCTACTCACTATGTTCCTTCAATGTTATTCATTATGTAATCGATTGTTTCTAACCCACTTTTGAACTGTTGTCACAATTAATGTTGTAGAATATTCTTTCACATTAGGTATATATTTACAATATTCAGTTAGCAATTTAAACCCATTATGTAATTATGATTTTTGAATATCACAGGTTGTAAGCAGCTGACGAGAACCGACGAAATAAAATGAATTCATGCTATTCTGCTAAAATCTTGTTCTTGCTCTTTTCATCTTATTCTCTCTGCAGTAGTAAAAATTATGGAATCTTTTGAAAACAACTTAGTAAAGTACTAACACACATAGCCATTTATTGAACAAATGAGTGATTATTCTCCCAGATATTCTCACAGGTACTACTTATTGAATAACTCTACCTGGTTCGTATCTTACATCCAAGCGCATGTTACAAATTACTAAACATACCCATAAAATATGACGTGTGTCTACTATGTCAGAAAGATACTATCATTAGTTGTCGTATAGTTGAAGTTCACAAGTTTGCTTCAATAGAAAATTTCGTAATAATTCTGACGATACCACTCGTTTCGTTGTCATAAGGTTGTAATGTCCGGATCTACAATCCATTAATACTTCTAGGTTAGGTTCTTGATGCAAAGCAGACAGATGAAAGGGGATAACCATATATCTGTAAAAAATAAAAAAGGAATAATTATCGATACACACGTACAATCAATATCTTAATCGTCTTCAATTAATGGGCTTTCAAGGTGCAAACATTAAGCAGGATAATGAGTAGAATAATTATTTCTGTCATGCTTCTACACTATCCCATTATCTAATAACACCAACAATTGAGCGTTAAATCCATGGAACGTCTCAACCCTTAATCGATTCCGAACATCTTTAAGCCATTTAAGACATGAAATGATTTTACGATTTCTAATTCCTTCCATATTATATTAATTCCTCGTCCTCCTTTATTTACGAAGATCGTCTTGTGTTTATTCGATCTTCTATTTGATTTTAGTAAATGCCTCAAAAAGTCAATATTTGACCAGAATATTCTAAACGTATTGTGTAAACACATCACATTTTTCAGACCGACTTCGTCTTCTCAGCCCTCTACCAAATCGTTTTAAAATTTCCGTAATCGCTTGAGACCTTATTATTAGTGCTGACCACGTATTTGCACATCCACACAATTTTTATTTCAATATGTGTTCTAATAGTCACAGAATGCTTAAGTCTTGTCTGTTGCACAAGTTTATCTAACATTTTAAAATAAACACACATAATCCTCTCGGTTGATCATGCCACTGTTAAGACACGTTTGCACTGGTAAATAATACATGGGTAGAGCCATGTTGTTTTGTAGTGGCATTGGACAATAACCACACAATCTTCAAAGCTGGATACGAGATTGCTCGGAAAATAGATATTCACTATTTAACGTGGAGAAATACCTAACGATGGAGAAGGCGCGAACAAGGAATTGAATGGACTGAAGTTGATCGGATGGCATGGCTCGGACATGCAGGCGTGGTCCATCTGAATGTTATCTTATATCTTCTATTCGTATTAAATATATTGTTCCTTCTCTAGCTTAACGTTGTTCTACATCATGTATTGGTAATTGATACGATACAGTGAGTTGGCGTAGTCGATGGTGTGACTTCCACGTAAGATCTTATAGATTAGGCAGTTATATCATGACAAATCTACAAATTTAGGATTAGGTCTATTATTAGAGCAGCACTAATATCATACTAGACCATAATTCTACAGATTTGCCACTATGTAAACGGGCTGTTAGCTGTAGTGAGATTTTTCTGTAATACTTAACTTTATAAAACGTTTAAGAGCTGAAAATAAGAAACCATTCGTAGAAACATATTCATTCAAGTAATGTTGAATTACATCTCCCTTATCTGCCTGTTTACCCACTTTACAGGACAGGTCACATTATTTGAGAAGTGAAATAAATCTAAAGTCCTAGTAGATAAATACTCTGCAGATGTAAACTGCTGGCAAACTGGAGGCAACTTCAACATAAGATTTACCATATAAGCTTATGGCTTCAGTCAAATAATCCACGCTGAAACTGAAAGCATTTACAATGTAGTTCATTTAGCAATGATATGGTGTACTGGAGTTAACGTAGGGCAAATATATAGCTGGAATAAAATAACCTAAATTTCGCATTGTGCGTGCAGTAGTAAATCAGAAATGAAGTCATGTTTACAGTTTTCAACTTGTGTATATCTCATATATAATTCAGTTCATATGTAGAACACTAATGATAACAAATTACGTTGAAGTACCTGCTGAGTAGAGGGTAGTAGGTCAATCTAATTTTCTAACTGAAAACATCGTCACCATTAGCTCACACAAATTGTTTCCGATAGGGTGTCTCTAACTCGGAAAATGTAAGCTCTTGACTGCATAAACGGCCATTTGACTTATAAGGTGAGTCTGTAGTGTTATCGGTTCTTACCCCACAACCCCCAAAGCTGAACATGAGATAACTGTGAAGTTGCATATCCAACAATTAACACGAAGAAAAGATCAGACGTGAAGGTGAGAAGTATTAGTTAATTCAATCGGGTGGCATGCA